CTAGCATCTGTAGATCATCATTTTATCATCTCAGGAACAGAATTAGGAAGTATTTCACTAAAGAATCAGCAGAAGTTGCTGTTCATGCATTTGTCACATCGAAACTAGATTACTGTAATCCATTATTATACGGCCTACCTAAGTATCAGTTACAAAGATTGCAGTATGTACAAAACACGGCGGCTAGAGTTGTGTTGCAAGTGAGTAAGTTTCAGCATATCACACCTGTTTTGTGTGCGCTTCACTGGCTACCGATTCAATATCGTATTATTTTCAAGATTCTGCTCGTCGTGTATAAATCACTGAATGGGACATCGCCTAGCTATTTAGCTCAAAAACTACATTATCGTCCTCATTCTAGATCATTGAGGTCTGTTAGTAATGAACTTTTAATGCAACCTAGATCGTATACCAAGACCTACGGAGATAGAGCATTCGCTGTTCATGCACCAAGAGAATGGAACTTAATACCCTATGAAATTCGGAAGTCCAACACCATCTCGAGTTTTAAAAGATCACTTAAGACGTACTTGTTTACTAAATTCAGTGATAACGGATCATTGTTTTTATAAATTTGTATATATTGCGTTAGTTTTAATTTTTTCCCTTTTTTTTATCATTATGAATATGGTTTAATAGTTGTTTTAGTTTCAATTTTTCCTTTTTTATCCATTGTAAATATATTAGGATATGGTAGTAAATTTGTAAATATTTTTCAATAATGTTGTTTACATGATTGTAAAGCGCCTTGAACATAGGATAAGAGCGCTATAGAAATAAAGTTATTATTATATTATTATTATTATTAACAGCATTCTTTCAACTCTTGCCTGGCAGAGATATATCTCATCAATGGCAGAAGCCTATGGCTCATAGATATTCTTTGCTAACCTAATTTCATACCCAAAGAAAATGATAGCCTCTTGTACAGCATGCCAATTTATCCAGGAACAACAGATTGCTCATGGATTTCTAATGACCTCTATTCGGCCCGCGAAGCCCGCCATAGCCTGCGCCACAGACGAAACTAAACTGCGAAACAGCGACGAAATCCTTCTTCTGGGTCTCCATGTGTGTACCAAGATTTCAGTACGCCCCATGATTGGCCTGTTAAAAGGCCATTGTGGATTTGCCAATTAGGTTAAAAGGAAATTCGAAACGCACTTCCGGTAATTTGTTGAGTCCGTTGGGGACCCAGAAAAAGGATTTCGGCACTGCTTCGCAGACGTTACTAACCGAGATTAAATTACGTCTGCGACACAGGCTAACAAAGCCAGAGCCAGAAAACAGCTAAGGCTACTGTACTCTAGAAATGAACTGTGATCCACTTTTTTGAATGACTGGCATCATTTCTCAACTTCTAAAGTATTCCTGATTTTCTTGCCTCCCTTAAAGCAAGTCTAAAGACGGTTTTATGCCTAAGACGAATTTTTCTGTCTGACAGTCTGTGTTTTAGACGGGGAAAAAAAGGATAAGTTTGAAGAGGTCCTTTAATTTAACAAGATTCTTACCAGAAGAGTTTTCCGTCTTATTACTAGAAGCGTTTTCCTTCGAACTATGAATCAAGCAGCTCGGAAATTTAATGAAGTGTTTGCAGACTGTCTGACGCAGTCCTGAGGGTTGAATCAATAAGTTAAACCACACCCGGAGGAAATAATTTCTTTGTTGTCAAGATTATTTTTAAGATCTCCTTCCTCAAGCCCTCCTGGTTGCTGCTCTCTCTATCTTTGCGTACTGGCTTCAAAACGGAACAAATTCAGCCAGAGAATTTTAAAGTTTTTTTAAAATAAGATATTTGTAATAAATTGAAATTCTTCCGAAGGTAAGCCTATTTCGACGGAGATTATCCAATAGATTGTTAAAGAAATTACTGGCCTTTTATTCTCTCAGTGAAAACAGTCTTTTGTTAAGCCGTATATTCTCCCATTTCAGATCCCAGTAGCTCGTCTCTTTACCAATAAATGGATATTTCCAAATGAGACTTGACAGGTTTTTTGTTTCAAATATATTTTGTTTCGGAATGTACACGACTTTATATTTCTTAATTAGGATAAAGCCTAAGTGTTTTTATCCGGTTACACAGCTATATTCTTTCAGACGAAGAGTTCTGCTATGGATAGGCATTAGATTAAACTTAGGGTTTTACAGCAGCATCGCAAAACGATGAGTAGCGAATAATAAAATAGCACTGCATGCTTAAAGTCACAGCAAACGATGAAAAAGCTATTAAAGGATCATAGTACGAGAAGATGAATCGAATACTAGTTCCTGGCTATCAAATACCCAGAGCAGCTGATGAGACATCGGCACCTAATTCAAACGTTTAACTGAAACAAACTCTTGCTATTTCGAACTCTCGCTACATTTTTTGTGACTCAGCGGTCACAATTATATTTCATTGTTCTAACTCTCGGAAATTAAGCGCCATGATTCAACTTCTTCGTCTTTTTAGTTAGATTTAGCGCGCTTTTTCCGTTGTGTATTAATGAAACTTTCTTTTTTCTACATTTTCTTAAGGAAACTTTTACCGTCCCAGGTCAGACTCAGGGCAATAAATAAGTTCGTCCAGTCTGTCTGAGTAAAATACCTCGCGCTTCAGTGCCGATATGATTCGTATTGCAGTAAATCAGAGTAAATGTGTTAAAAATGCATGCATGGTTTTATGCCTTCTAATGCGAACGGACTCTCGTTACTTCAGACAGAGCACTAACTAGTGGCACCGAGGATCAGTGGTGAAGGATATTCGATATAACTACAGGACTCAACTGAATTATTGAAACAACTATGAGGAACGTTCAAGAATAACTGAGACTTCGAGAAGCTTAGTAGGTCTGACGTGGTGCATAAAAATCAGATGTCAAAAACGAAGACAATTTTAACCTAAATCCGATTATCCGAATGGAAGAATAACTTTATCAGAGGTAAATTGTTATTTTTTAAAACAAATACTGTAAGGGACTTCTTGATTGTTTCCCAGCGTGGGAATAAAAAATGATATGCAATTAAGGTTAAGGCTTAGCTGCGGTATCTCACATCCTTGAACTGAATAAGACAATTGAAGAAGCTTATAACAAAATCTATTTAACATTAAAACAATTTATCTTTGACAAATATATATATATATCTTCCCGAATTCTCATATTTGAATAATCGCATTTGCAATTCAAGAATTGTTTTCCTTTTACGTTTTACTGATAGGCACTGTGTCAGCCTTGCTAAGGTTTATGAAGAGTTGTTCTTTGAACATTTCCACCGCTATAGAAGCGAGCGACCTTAAAAATAATTTTTAATTGAACTAATAAATGAGCAGGTTCAAGCTACGCACACTCACAGATAAGGAATTTCAAAATGGCATCACTCAACACATATTTGAGCTTTTTGATCAGCCACTCACTCTTGATGATTTTTTGAGTTTGTATCGTTGACCATTTTGACTCTTATCTATCATCCCATATCAAAAATTTTAACCCTTGCTATTGATCGGTGCGCTTAAAAAACAGTCAAAGCCGACAGAAAGAAAAATAAACAACAACAGCTGAACATGAGAAAAAATCGAATTACAAGTTATGTAATTGACGGAATCCCTTTTTTAGGAATTTGATGTTACTGTGTGATTTGCTTTGATGGGCATGTCCGTTTTAAGATTATTGCATTTTTGAATACGAAACAAAAATCTTCATTTTTCAAAGACGGCCTAGTATTCGTATTTCTTTTGTAATTCTTTCGATTCACTATCGTTTCTTGAAAAAGGGCATGAACGTGCAAATTTGCCGTTGTTTTCAGAGACAGCAATCTTGAGTACAAAAGTCCACGTACAAGAATCGTGATTTTTTTTTGCTATATTTTGTTTTTTTCTTTGTTTTGAACAGTAGAGGGCTATTTTGCTACCTGACTACTCAAAAATGATCACGTTCGCGGACAAAGTTCAAAACTGAGGAAATCATCAAATTTCGAGTATTGCTAAAAAATGTTAATTGAATATTTGAATATATAACAAACGGTAGCTTTAGTTGCCATTACAAGATAACTGCACGGGAGCTACTACTCATTTGACTGAAATGACATGCACAGAATAATACACTATGTATTCACTGAATAATGAACGAGTGCATTTGAATGCAAGAATTTTCTTTCAAAAAATGAACAACTTTGTACACTGATTAACTTAAAACGATTAATACTAGAACACTTAAAGCATAGTAGGACATCGTAAGTTGCATAACTTCCGGTGGGCCTTTTTGAAAACAGTTTCTTAGTTAGCTAAAGCAAATAAATAACACAATTCCATTTTTTGCCACTTTGAGAAAAGGGAACCATAGCAACATGAGCCTTCCAAATCCATTAGAAAATTAAACAGCTACTTGAAAAAGGGAAAACTCTACTGACACCAAAATGATCCTTACTGTCGATTGGAATAGCTAATAAATAGAAAACTCGCGGTACTTTTCTGACAAAATTCCATTGCTTTTATAAATATCTTTGATGGATAGTAGTGTATAGTATCCATCTTTTATCTTAGCATTTTTGATGAAGCCTTCATTAACCGCGCTTCAATTCACTCCTGGGGCACGTCAGGTGAGATTATTTACCTCTCTGAAATCTGTGGGCAAAAATCCCGTTGTGTTACCATTCAAATATGTCTTTGGCAGAAAGTTTAAAATAGCACCATTTTTCTCTTGGTATTTTGCATTTTTTTGGTGAATACGGTGAAACAGCAGCTCTGTTTTTATTGTGTTCCTATTGTTTTGCAGCATTTACACACGCTTTTAAGGGGCGCGAGGTTACAAAAACATTGATATCAGTTTTAATCGCTTAAATGCTATTGTCGCGTTCTTGGTTTACACAGTGAACTCATTTATCTGCTTAGGACCGTGTGAAACTTGAAAAGTTGATGTCTAAAAGTAGAAGCAACTTAAGCGATATTTGATCTTGAGATCAAACGCTGAATTATTTCCCGTCAACCTGCAGACCTGAGTGAGAGCAGAGAGGAAACGTCTACACTTCATTAATATCATATACAAATTCTCTTGTCAAGTGTGATAAGTGATTCACATCAACGGCATTCGACACATAACAATTCAACTAATTATAGCACCGACAGAGAGCTTTCAAATCTTGTGCTGGTCTTTGCCAGCCGACTCTCTGGCAGCTTCCTCAACTTATTAGTCAAGATTTGCATTAAGCTTTCAATTAACGCGTCGGTTTGGATAAAAGCTGTGGGCTCTTACAAGTTTTGGTTTTGAATATAGCCGCGGTACACGATGAAATATATGGATTTCCACTCATTGACAGTGATTGTTCTTCTGTTGTGGCATATAAAAGGTTTGAATTTCTTCTCTTTAGCAAGGTTTCTAAACCTTTACAACTTCTAATTAACACTCGCCCGCTATTGTTAATATTTCTTTGGCTTTTCTTTCTTGTCGCGGAATAGAGAGATTTTTTTGCGCAAAGAATCTGTTTTCGAAAACATTTCAATTGCATTCACCGTTGTCTACTAGTAATGGTGTTTGGGCTTACTTTTGTTCAGTAAAATGTCAAGATGAAGAATTCAAAAGTTGTTTTACTCATAACACTTTTAACCACTTCTTAACTAACACGATTCAATTTATTTCAGTTCTGCAGTGCGCTAGCAAGTTTGAAGTAGAGCTGGACCTTGACAAAGGCCTTGTCGTCATACCGCCGGTACAAGGCTCCAAATCTCAAGTCCATCTTATCCATGGCCCAACAACTTCTTCGAAACCTGGTATGTGTGATGGACAAGCTCTTGTTCGGTTAGATTTCAGTGGTCCCTATAAAAAGGCTAAAATCGAGCTCATGTATGGTAGAGAACCCCGTCTATGGACTGCCACCATATCCGATTCTGAGAGGAGCTATGGCTTCGGGTCGAACTACGATTTTTCGAGTAATTGTGCTTCAGTTCAACTATACAACCGCCAGTTTCGAATTTACAGCAATAGACTACCAGGTTACATGTTCAAGACTATCGATGGCGATTCTTTGATGACTGTATTGGACGATGTCGTTGACAAAGGCGTGAATATGACCATTGATATTTCAGACGAAACAGTCAACTGGAAAACGCACTCCGGCAACAGGACAAAGTTCTTCTATGATGTCAAACCTCCGTTCCGTAACAACAAGTACCTTTTTACCCTATCAGGACAAGCCCCAGTCTACGGGCCCCCAACAGATAGTTATGTGTATGCTGGGTTCAATCGAGTACCTTACGGGAATTTCCACAATGGATCAGGGCTTTGTAGAGTGAAGATTACTTTCAAACGGGACCTGAGAAAAGGTAGGTACAAGCCGACGTTGTTGTATATTGTAAACTGTCGTTAACTTGTAAATTAAACTTAGCCCTGATGGTCTCTGTTTACTGTATACTGATTACTTTGTCGATGTTTACTTTTATTTACTATTTACTCTCCGCGAAGAAGTAGCACAGACAAACTTTTCATTTGCGTAGGAGGAATTTACATTACCAAGGCATTGTCAAGGACGTGCTAATTTGCAACATTTGATATATGAGCACCCCTCCACATCCCTTTTTTCTGTCTAGCGTTGTTCTCTGGTGTATGCAAATAGTTTCTTTTTGAACTTTTGTTTTTCTTCTGAAGTTGGACGAGTTCTCTTGCAATTTTTGTGGTTCTTCGGTACAATTCGAAGCTTCTCGCCTTCGAATGCTTGTTAATGCGCTAAAAAAAAAAAATGAAAAATTACAATGAGGTCATGAAACTAATGCATTATTTTACACATTCTTTTTCACCTTAGGTTAAGAAAACCTATGTGGTCTAATTTCAATACTTTTTGAAGGTATTATTTGATTAGTCTATTCCAACGACTCGTGCAGAGTCGTCACGCTGATTTAAGGATTCCCGAACAGACAAATCCGTCTTTTTTACTTATCTCCAAACATTTGCAGATCACTTGACTGCTCAGTCAAAGCCATTATCACTTTTGGTTGATAAAACAAAGGAATCGTTCTGACCAATGTTGCAATAAACGTCGTTTTTTTTAGGTTTGACTTCCGGTTTTAAACATTCTTTTTGGCGTGTAAATTTCCGACAGTATTGGCCAAAGAGAACCGCCTGTAAAAAATAGCATCTAAAGACCAACTGGGTGACATGCACGAAGTAGAAATTAATACCATATTTAATCTTCAACTAAATAGTGGCCAAAGTAAAAATTTCACACACACACAAAATAAATTTTCTGCAGAAGCCTAAGATATAATAATTATTATACAGTACTTTGCAAAAATTTATGTCGGAAGAGTCCATCTAAATGGTAATACCAAAGGATTTCGTTCACGCATAAGAAATCATCTCACCAACGTGAAAGGGCGATGGACAGATAAACTGAAATAAAAAATGCTTCTCTGACGATAGTTGGAAGCACAATAGGGTTCATCTGTTATATATTTGTTTGTAGAATGTCAATTAAAACTAACAGTATTGCGATTTAAACGATGGTTCTTCGCATCGGAACGAGTAATTTCTTAATAAAGGGCTCCATTATTTCATCATACACTTGGTAACATAACCCGCCGTGAAAATTACGTTTTAAATCGATATTATCTTTTCTATTTAATATAGCGTGCTTAGCGGGATGGCTTTTAAGCTCGTCAATCTTGCCATGTTGACACGGCTAATAATTTTGCCATGTCGTATAAGTGACAAATGCTTATCACATAGTTAAAGGTCAGACAGTATGTCACATTCCATCTCAATGGAAAATATAATTCGATGTCGAAGCGTGCCAAACATTTCTTGTTCCTACTGTGTTGAATCATAATTGCCAGTTGGGTCATGATTGATATTTTCTGACGAAAAAAGACAGATCGACATATTTGGAATTATTGGAAGTCCAATGTACAAAATTTTTTGTCCGGTTTTGCTTTGTTTCTTTTGCGACTTGGGCGCAAGTTCGCTTTTCCCCCCTTCGGGTGCTTCTTCGTCTCTTTTGTTTGGTTTTGGTTTGGTTATGTCAGTGCGTGCCCAGTTTTCAATCCCGTTATTGGCAATTCTCGCATTAGCTAGCCATTGAACTCATCTTTTGGATTTTACGTGGCTTTTTTTAACCCCTGTTCACTCCCAATTCAAAAGACCCCCACCCCCCCAAAAATGTTAAGTAACAAACTGAGAAACAAAACAACAGATAGCACCCTGGTAAAAAGTGAATGTTTTGTTGAAGAGGTATGATTTCGAATGCTTACACCAATTTCATTAAGTTCACCTCCACCCATTACAAACGTACCAATGAGACTTAGTCAATGCCAACAAAACCACTCTAGACTTTCCCAACCCACATGTATCAGCAACCGGCAAAGTATAAACTTTCACGCTACTTAAAGCTTGGTAAATAAAATCAACGGTATATTTTTAACACCATAAGTCAAATCTCCACTTAAAGGGCTGCTCTAACCTTTTAACGTCTGTGATCATGTGGAACATAATTTAACGTCTTTGAACATTTGTCGTAAAAATGTTGAAAGATGACCTGTCGAAAAATTAGAGGACCCTTGAAAAAGTTTTGACAGATTGACCTCTTGTCGTTTAACGAGTTAGTAGCTTACTTGAACGAAACAGAGCCACTTTTTTTAGCGTATCTGCCAGCCCTTCGTTCAGCAGAGGTTGGTATTGTCACGTTACTTCATGTGTATTAACCACGTGACGCAAAGAAGTTGGCGGAAAATTCGTTGACCCCGCCCATGGCGTCTGATGTGGATCGCCAAATATCACAGTGATATCAAGGAGATCCGAGCGCCGTTTTCGTGGAACTCCCCCCCCCCCCTCATAATAGTTCGGTCTTTACATATCTGTACATAAATTTGTATTATCTAGCATATGTGCTCCTTACTAACTAATTGAATTAGATATTAAAACAACGCAACTGCGTTCGTGTTTACGGTGAGAGATTAAGGTATTAGAATATGAACTTAACTGGAGAAAAACCGCAATTTTACAAACGTAACAGGAACCAAAGAGATTTTATTAATCTTAATAGCGTCAGAGTGAACAGTGTTTACAAAGGAGTTTTATTATACTGAAATGGATTTAAAAAATTCTTTGTATGAAAAAGCGTTCAATTTTCACATCTTACTATCAACTTTAGAACATTGATGGGTGTGTGTTAGATAAGTGGAAACAAGAAAACTCGAGATATTTTCTCGCTTGTTGTACGTTATGGTATCCCTAGATTGACGACCCGGTGGGAATTTCACGAATAACTGCCAACAGCACTCGATCCTTTCTTGCCGTTGATATACCGTTATCTCGAAGTTGTCAGCGGTGTAGAAAACATGACAAGACAAGACTATTTTCCTGATCTCAACTCGCCATCCCAAATTAAACTATTTTTAGCTCGCCGCAACCTTTTCTAATTTCAGGAAGTACTGTTCTCAACAAGTAGTGTGTCCAGCCCAAGAAAAAGGAATTGTGTATAATGATGAAAAAAAAATCAAGCAAATGCTACAGAAATTGCTACACATAACCTTAACTGAGCAAAGACTAGAAAAAAACTGGTATTTGTTTGTGATTAGTGCAAGACTTCCAGGGGTTAAACCCGAAGCTTCCAAGGTTTAGATTGAAAACATCAACCACTTAAGATCTACATTATTGGCATGGTAAAAGCAGGATAATGAACGACTATAATAGCTTTATTTTTTAAAGAATGTAAATAAACAACTGGCGGTACGTGTGTTTAGTCGCCTCTGGTTTGCCGAAGGGCATAGCTCAAATTTTTTCCCGGTGTCAAATGTATCAAAAAATACTTCCAGATAGTACTGGTAGAAAATTCCTCTTAATTTTAAGCACGTACATTTTGAGACTTAAAGTCAGGGTAAAACCGCTAACCCAAAATTTGAGTTTGGAATAGCAGTTTAAAGAACTTTCCGATTTCCTTTTTAGCATTTTTAAATTTATTACTTGTAAACTGTATAATGTCTAATTGCCGTTGTTGTTGGTTTCAGAGAGGTATGTGTTTTCATGTGAAAGGTGAAGTCAGCATTTAAATACTGTCTGCTATGGAGAGTTTTGCTATGTAATATTTTCAAACACAAGGACAAATGTTTCACGTGATTTCCAGACACCGAGGAATTTATGAAAACTGCTAATTTCATCTGTGAAAAATTTAAGTCTAAGAGATGATGGTTTCATACGAAAGTGCCCCCAGAGAGGTTTCATTCGAATGGTCAGAGGGGATTTCATTTACAGACCCAAACGCAGGGACCAATATGTATCTAGTGCATCATGTAACAGGACCATAACAGAAAACAGGGGCTCGATGGTTTTCCGTAAAATATCTGTTCCGAGGAGCAAATATTGCCTTGAATTTTCTATAGCTTGAGGACGGCTAAATCTTTCTAAATGATCGTTACATTCATGTACCACGCTTATCTACTAAATTCCCTACGATTTTCTAAACTTTAATTTTCACATTTCACTGCCTAGGTTAGGCTATTTTTCCTATAAAACGAAAACCTCAAATTTTCGGGAAAATAACACTGGCCCTTGTAATTTCGAACAGACTCAAGTTCCCCTAGGATGACCGAACAGATACAAATTTTATAGCGCCACTTAGAATGCATTTCTAGAGATCCAAAAGTACTCTGGATAGCCTAAAAAGTGTTTTAATGTTGGGTGCCCCTGAGAAAAGTGATGCTCAGCAACCTTCAGTTGAATGCCTGGTCACAGTCGCTCTTAGGATATCATCCACATAGACTCAAAAGTTAAAACTACCTCGTACAGCATAATAAAAACTGTACCACAGGAACGTACCGCACAGTACTTCAGCATTTGAAAACTCCAGGGCGATTACAGCATTCCACACAGACTCTAACTTTAGAACAATTCAGTGCAGCATAAACAGTACCACAGGACCGAACTGCTCAGTAGCTTTTATTTCAATGGATTTCATCTGCAGACTCAAAAGTTACAACCACGTTGTGCAGCATAATAAACTGCACCTACCCCGAGTAAATTGCTGCTTAGTAGCGTCAGTCTCTATAATATTTTTTTGTCCAGTTTAATGCAAAAATCAAATTGTATGGTTATTGTCCTCCCATTTTCTTCAGTGAAGTAAGCCTAGTACAAATTGTAGCAAAAACAAATGTTCAAGACTTTCAGGTGTAATAAAATGTCTACAATACGACCATTCTAATGAAGGCTATTAAAGAGATATTTACTGTGACAGCGTTAATCATTTGTTGTACTCTGCGAGGTGGTTTTCCCTAGACTCCAAAGGAAGCAGCGGTTTTGCCGTGCTAGTACCGTCTGAGGTGCGTCTAAGACTAGGGAGAAAACTTAACAGGTAGTAGTTTTCGTAAGAGAAAAGCTTCCCTTTTCCCCATGGGGTCTACTCTTCTTATTTCTTAGAAAACTTCTTTTGATTAAAACATTGCAGATTCGTCTTGTGCCACTGGTGAACATGACTGCGACAAGGAACACGCCATCTGCATACCTACCAAGCGTTCTTATAAGTGCAGCTGCAAACTTGGCTTCCATGGAGTTGATGGGCGGAAATGCAAGGGTAATGCAATCTTAACATCGAGAAGAGTTCTGTTGAAATCGCTATTTTATAAGGGAGGGTAGGCTGGGGGTGAAGTATCAGAATGGTTAGTCACAGGAGATATCTTTCTTTGTAAAGAGGGGTGTTTTGTACAACATCTGGGTGATCTAATTTATATTTGAAATAAATAGAAGAAGTAGCTGAGTTGCGCCACTGTTGAAATCCTCGGTCTTGTTTACTGTTAGTAGCAAGTTAATTTTGTTCATCTTTTGGTCGACTTTAATTTTTTGAAATCTAACAAGAACAAAATATAAAACTATAACAAGTTAAGATGTGTTATATCTTGACTAATTGTCCTGCAAATGTCTCCCACACCCTAGCCAAAAGAATCTGCGTGAACTAGAAACTAGAAACATCGGATCACACGGAACACCTCGAAATAAGTCAAGTGAATGAAACAAACAGAAGGAACGTTAAGGAAAAAATAGAAATACTCGCCCCATCTAAGAAAATGCAAGACAGTCTTGCATCCTGGATTCCACGTTCTGCCAATGGATTCCGGATTCTTTGTCAGTAGAAATTAATGGATTCCAGATTTCAATCGTTAGTGGGATTCCGGATTCCAAAGCCTAGGATTTCAGATACCAAAGCAAAAATTTACTGCATTCCGGAATCCGGATTCCCTTACGTGGGGCGAGCAGAAGGTCAGAGTTTCTGTCTTCCTTTCTCATTTTACCTATTGCCAGGTTTCGCGGGGGGTTGTTTCGGTGGTGTTCCTTACATGTTCCTGGTTTTAGGGTCTCTTAGGAAAACCAAAAGAAACTTCATGCCCGCAGTTGAAAGTACGTCGTCCCTGCTCTTGTAGAACAGCAGCCTGGGTTAATTTCTTTTACGTTTCAGTTCTACTACTGAATTGAAATATATGAAATGTACTAAAAATCATATTTTGAATTGCGGATAAAGAAATGAAAGTGGAAATGATCTTCGCAGTAGAGTGAACAACCTAAGCGGTTGAAAAAGGCTTGATCTGGAATCGAACTCACAGTGGTTTGCTCTCCAGTTGGCTTGATCGGCTTGATGGCAAGAGCGTTGCCTCCGGTCATTGCTCATAAAGGTAAGGGTTCGAATCTCGACCAAGCCTTAATTTTTTCAGGTTCTCTTTCAACCGCTTATATGTTGTTCATTCTACCGCGAAGATCATTTTCAGTTCACTTTCATAGCAAGCTCATACTGTATGTTTGTCAGTATGTGATGGACAAAACCTTTACTTTTTCTGCTTGTGTCTGTTATTTCTTCTTAGAATATAATCCCTGTTCAATCGCAAAAGGAGGATGCGAGCACTTTTGTCAAAACAACGGAGGTCGCGTGTCATGTAGCTGTCAGGAAGGATTTACACTCCACCCGAACATGAGAAACTGCCGGCGTAAGTATATTTCTCACATGTTTTGTTTCGTCAAAGGGGCGGTTTTAAAATTCTGATCATGATCTTTGATGTGAAGAAAAAATTCTGAAAAGAGTGAATTTTAATGGAGAAAAGACTTTTACCGTTTTGATTGGAGGTAAGAGGTCAAGTGTTCTGGCACTTTCCACTGCAATCAAATATGGCAAAGCCTCAACAGAATAGACTCTTTCATGGTTCTCCCAACTTTTGACATGGACAAGTAAGAGAAAATCCAACACCACTAGAAAGAGCGCCTTAAAATTAGTTAGAATGCCAAGTTTTGAAAGTGACGCGTCTTAAGCAGGCGAAGATATAGCTTAGCAATGTTACGAAAATTAACTGAACTTTGTAAGGTAGGGGGCAAATTTGTACCCCTCACCATACAAATGTCCTTAAAATTTCGCGACTTTGAAGAGCCATATCTTCGTTACTTTTCAACAAATCAATTTGAAACTTGGCGTTTTTACCAATTTTAAGTCGTTCTTTCCCGCGGAGTTGACGGATTTTCCCTAACTTGTCCATGTCAAAAGTTGGAAAAGAAAAAAACAAACAAACAAAAAAACAAAAAAAAAAGTGGAAAGTTCTATTGTAGCCTACAGATGAAATACTCAAATGTAACCGTTGAAATAAATGTTACTCGGTCAGCAGTATTGCACTGCTTGTATTGTGTGGTACAAATTTCCTTTCCGATAGTTTATATTCATAAGTCGGTTGAGTATGATCGTCCGGGTGAACATAGTCCTGAATAGGACTCACTGTTATTGTTGACAGTGACTGACGTATTGACAACCAGTCCTTTGGTTAACTTCAGAGTCAAAGGGAGTTGTATCACGTCAGTTGATGGTATTAAACTCTGGTTATTGACCTGATTGGTCAATTAAGTCGCGATGTTATTGGTCGTCTGACGGTTAAGCCGTGATGTTATTGCCTGTGAAGACTTATAATGTCATTGGTGCCTTTCGATCAGTCTATTGTCACAGGTGTAAACAGTCGTTTATTGCTAGTCAAATGGTCAGTTGTCCCGTCGTTCTCTCGTAGTTAGTTTTGCTTGATTCCGTCAATAATTCGTTAGTACGTTGTCGGCAACTGTTCACTACGATTGAGAGTGGCGTTTTTTCAAAGTACCAGCACTGTACAAACGACTTACTGACGGAATCAAGCCAGAATCAAGCAAAACTAACTACGAGAGAAGTACTGGACAACTGACAATTTGACTAACAATAAACAGATTGAAACGCACCAATGACATTAAGAGTCTTCATAGCCAATACCATCACGGTTTAACTGACAGACGACCAATAGCATCCCGACTTAACTGACCAATCAGGTCAATTAGTCCAATCAGTCATACGTGTTCAAATCTGCACGTTTTTGGAGAAAACCTTATTTTGAAATAGAACTCAGTGTTGTATGTAGGTATTTGGACCTGCATTCTTTTGATGTCTCTTTTTGGAGTAGTCTAATGCAACATGGTATTCAGCGTTCTATATTTTTCGCTTAAATCCTTTCCCTGAGGTTCTGCGCCACTGCTTGGGGAATACTCTTTTCCGCACATTTTTTGGCCTCTTCAAAGGTTGGTTTTAGTGGTTTTTCGTATCCGCTGGGACACACGTTCTAAGCTAGAACATATATTTTTGCGAGAAGTATGACACCGATCTACATGCTTTAACTACAGGAACTAGATACATCTACATCAGATGACTAACTGACGCATCTTAAACAAACTTTTCACATTGAATGTCTCGTGTTAGTGGAGTCAGAATCCCAGAAAAAGACCACGCTTCAAATTACATGACCAGTACATTCTAATAGAAATGTTCTTTTTTGTGCTGTACAAGGTGGTTGCTTGTGGATAAAATCGTAACCTGCGACCTTTTAATGAGCACACGAGTAATACCGTGTGATTCTGCTGTGTAGGATAGCTCACTCGCTTTTCCTTTTTTCCATGTTTTTTTTATAGGCGATGAACAAGTGTCTATCATTAGCAAAAAAGTTCGTGTCAGACTTGAACAAGTTTTACCTTGCAAACGCAAGGAGCTGAAGGATGAAATTCTCGCTAAACTTCAGAAGAAGTTTCTCAGTCAGGAAGTGTGCAATATCCCTTGCAAAATACTGAACTTACAACTGCGCTGCAAACAACAAAAAGGACAGACAGGGAAAGTTGAAAAAGTATCTGTGTCTTTTGATATTGAATTGAATGAAAGTGCAATAGCCACATCGAAATTCTGCAACAACTCATGCGTCAAGTGCCAAATGGAAGAACGATTGAAAAAGATGATCTACGACCTGCGTATACATGCCGATAACAACAAGTTAAACGTCTCCGTCGATGATCAAATTTTTACCGTCTTGAGAAAGTCAGTGCGAGTCCAAAAAGAGACGAATCATTGCAGTAAGGAAAAGTCAAGACCAAGGCGACGGCCAGGTAAGAGACATCGAAGACATAACGGTCGCGATGGGCATTTCTCTCAGCTGCGCCGATGGCATGTTTTTATTTTTTTATTTGTCTTGCTTCTGTCTTGGACGCACGGCAACGGTTACGTGTTTATGTGACTTCCGACTGCATGTTGTCCCAAATTTAACTGTTGCTGGTTTTAAAGAGATGGGGTGTTGACACGTGATTCTCCGACACTTTTTACCACCTCTTCTTTTCTCGTTGTTGCCATGGATAGCATGCTTTCTTTCGGCCTATGCACTTTGCATGTTGACCCGCGCCTTAAGGGCAAAATGTCTGTAAAGTACGCTTTGCTAACCCTAGGCACTCCATTTAATAGATAATCACAAACCATTTATGCACTTTTACACCGTTCTGAAGAGGTTATCGTTTTCAGTAAATGGGAGAGAGGGTCACTGAATTGGAACAAAAGGTCATTGTTATATATTCAAAACGAAAAAAAAAATGACCTACAGTTCTACTTTAGCAAACACAGTAACCCACTGGGTCAAAAGTAATGGAAAGATGCATTAAATCGCTTAATGAACTCGCTGCCCAGCTACCAAAAAAAAAGAAAAAAACAAACCTCGTGCTACACGTTCAGTCATCATTTTAACATGATCTACTTAACCTTTTTCACGGATACGTTTTCCAAAACTTTGCAGTTGTGAAACAACTATGACGTTTTGAGATTTACTTTTTTACATTTTCCTAGTTTCTCGTTGTCGACGAGGGGAATATTTTGACGTGTTTCTCAACCAATGCATGAATTGCTCACGTGGAACCTACCAACCCAACAAATCAGAAAATTTCTGCTTTCGCTGCCCTGGCAATACGACTACACTTTTTCGTGGTGCTACCGACATCTCCCAGTGTATAGGTAAGTTATTACTTTCAACTGCCAAACAGAGCAGAGCTGAGGTCCCAGACTAATTGTTAACAGTATGTATGCGTTGTCGTAGTAACTGGCCCTGAATTTAGCCGGATAATCGTTGGAGGTGTCGATTTTATGAACAGCATTTGGTGGTACATAAGACTATTCCTAGACGAGTAAAAGCCTTTGAAGGGCATTTTCTGTTGATAACCGTGAACGAGGTGGTTCTAGCGTGTGAGTCTGTTGTTAAGTTCTTTTGAGACAAAAGTGAGACAGTTTTAAGTTGCAAGTTGCTTCTAACTTTTAAAACTGTGACCATTCAAACGAAAGCTGCTGAGCAGTACTTTCCTGCCAGCGGTATTGTATATTACTGGTATGCTGTGCAAAGTGGTTTTGAGTCTGTTAATGAAATCCTATAAGGTAATTATTTAACTAATAACAATAATAATATAATATTAATGATGATAATAATAATAACGGTTAATTGATGCCTTTTCCACAGAGTAGCTCTACATTCATTAAGACTACCTAACTTATGAAATATACCGATAAAAAAATGAAAGTACATGTAGGTATATAAAATCTAAAGCAATTAGTCAAACGAACAAAAAAATCTCATCTGGATTCGGCCTTAGTTTTAAATAATTTCGCGGAACGGGTCGGTCCACGATCTCTATCACTTAAAAGCGTTATTCATTTGGAACAAGTAAATACTTACAAAATTAAGTGGTCCACAAAAGAAGAATCTTTATGAGAAAAACTTCGATGGTGAGGCTAACTGGTCGGGTGTTTCAAACTTTCATTGTATGCAAATGAGTCTTGCAATGAGCATGCGGTTTTATTTTGGGCGATGATTGAAATGACGCGCCATGTTCATCATTGCTTTTTGGCAATGATGTAATTTCTCTCGAATCGATGCGCTTGATTTTCGTGTATTTCACACCTGTACTCAATCAATTCAGAAGCAAACCATCGAACACGATACAAAAAGCAAATATCCTGAGGAATACTCGACCGTTGACAAAGGAGGACTTGAAAAACTTTTAGCGAGGAAACCTTACTTCGAGTAAAATAAACGCCCCCTCATTTCTCCTCTTATCTCCAAGCAAGCTCGACTTAACGTTTTTTAAGAGCGTCTTATTTCTGTTTTTTTAATCATTTCAGAAACTAAATGTGGGGGAAACCTTACATCACTGACTGGGGCCATCACTTCGCCAAATCATCCCGACCCATACCCCAAAGGGATCGAGTGCGTGTGGCATATTCGATGCCCTAAGGATCGCCGTCTGCTCATGCTCATACCTAACATATCAATACCGCTGACCACAGATTGCTCTGATCACCTGGTTATGCGTGAGAATGCCAGCCCTTTTTCTAAGACCACATACTACAAGTGCGAAACTTACATGAATCCAGTCACCTTTATCTCTAGAAGTAAGGACCTATATGTCAAGTTTAGTTCGAAAAGCAGCGATGAAATGGCGGATGGATTTAAAATGTTTTACGTCACCTTTGAAGGTAAGCTGTTGAGAACTAAGCGATAATAATTAATGCCTAGGCCACAGGAAAAAAATTAATGTGACCAATATATTTACTTGGACGTCAATAGAGAGAGGTTGGAAACTACCAGCAACTCACTATCATTCGATTGATATTTTTCTTCCTTTTTGACCTGCAACTGCCTACAAATAATGGTCTGCTCATGTACATTGTCGTCCAACCGTGTTTGGTCGCAAATAATATTCTGCTCATGCGTAGATGAAACCACCCTTTTCTCCTTTTTGCGATTGCTCTTGCTAGAAAATAGCAAAATGGCAGATATCCACTCAAAACAAACTCGAATTATAAACCAATTAGAGAGACACGAATGATAAAACAATTATTGAACTCGGTTTTCGCAAAATATCGTTATTTTTCAGATCCGCTCGCCACTGACAAATCACGATATTTTGCTCAACCTCGTCTAGTAATTGTTGAATTATGCTACAACTTTTTAAAAGTGACGTGTCGTGCAGATGAAAAAATAAGTATTTAAAATAATTGTTTTTAGCCTAAAATCAGGGGACGCTTGTCACAAAAAAACCAGGACAGGCTAAGAACAAGGGCAAAAAAGAGTTTGCACATAAGAAAATTTGCTTAGAGCGATTTTCGTATGACCTTGAAATGAAAACGCGGGAACAAAACAGAAACAACAAACCAACAGAAATAGAGCGATTTGACTGGTTTATCGAACGGACACAAACGCGCGTGCGTGGCTTTTGGTTGGTTAAGTGAACGCTCGGGTGAAAAAACTTCATGCCCGAGAACTTTCTAGAGATCAATCGATACTTCGCTTTGGCGTCATACTGCAACACGATTGGCAAATCGAACAATACCCTCTCCAAATTGGGGTTTTCTTTGGCGGGAAAACGAAGAGTCCATGTTTTGATCTTTTCATCCATTGGCTAATAAACCAAAATAAAGAACACTTACCGAATCCATTTTTCAAGGTCATAGGAAAATTGCTCTATCGTGTAAACAGAAACCGGAAAGTGCAGTCAGCAAGAAATTGCGTCGGTCCCTGATTTCGCCTTCGAGTTTTTAAACTGTTGCAAACTGAAGGGTATCAAAACTTGGACCTTTCTTTTCACAGAGCTACTCTTCAAGGCTTTCCACGACCGGCAAAACAATAATTTGCATATTAGTAATTTAATTTGCATATTAGTAATGTTAATTTGCATATTAGGAATGTTTGTAAGAAAGCTAGCCAGAGAATAGGTGTGATAATGAGGCTGAGGAATCTAATACCAACTGAGGCCAAATTACATCTCTTTAAGGCAGCTATTCTCTCACATTTAACATATTGCCACTTAGTGTGGCACTTTTGTAGAGCCTCGGACACCCATAGATTGGAGAGAGTACAGGAGCGTGGACTGCGCGCTGTATTTAAAGATGAGCAGTGTAGCGACCAACAGCTGTTAGTGAAAGCAAAGCTACCATCGTGTAGGAGACCATCCTGTAGGAGACTACAGGACATATGTATTCTAATGTATGAGGTTAAACATAATTTGTGTCCGCGGACTATTTGTGACATGTTTCTGACCAACAACCACACTTACAATTACGGCAGAAAGATTTTTATCAACCTAGTTTTAACACAGTTACGCACCGAAAACACTCAATTCGATACCTAGGTCCAAAACTTTGGAGCAAGATACCAAGCAAGGACAGATCAGCTGCCAGTCTTTCATTCCTACGCAAAAATTATGCATGTCGAGTAATTTCATGTTAGATTTAATGAATGGTTAGTCTAAGGGGAGATCAACAACAAGAAATCTTCTTCTGTTACTTCAACCAAAAGAGGAATACGAAACAAAAAACATCCTTTGCGTTTTGTGTCGCGATGAGAGTGCAGTTTATCTTTCTCCTTTCTCACTACAGAGGTAACTAAATAAGTGCTCTCTTTTTTGACAGAAAAGTATCGCGAGTTAGTCGCCTCGATTGTTGAGAATGGTACCTTATATGGAAACAGCAGTCTTCAGAGAATTCTCAAGGTAATAGGCACTTTGCAGAACTTGGGGACGTGCTTGGATACCACTCATTAACGGCCGGCTCGCTGGATGCCGCTGGAAGCATTCATTTCGATCACAAAGCTTTGAGTGCGATCGAGCTAAGCATTCCTAGTTCAATCATTCTGTTAAAAAATTAACCGAAAAGACTGGACTAGAACACTTCTAGTCCAGTCGTCTTAAAAAAACCGTTTGTATTAACATTGGAAGGCTTTGCTCTATCACGCCCAAATCGTTGTGAGCCAAATTAACAGGGAACCGTTGCTAAGTGGTATCCAAACACGTGACCAAGGTCCGCAAGGACTATTTTAACGACAGTCTTACTCCCCGTGCAAAAGGACGCAACTTTGTTGGCCAGCAACTCCCAACATTGCTAGATGTTACATGTTGCGTCCGTTTGCACACCCTGTTGCATATTAACTAACCCTCATGTCTATAGCGCAATTTCTGGAAATGCTGGCTGACGATTCGCGGTTGAGAATATATTGCTAGAATATTCAATGATTAAATCTGTTTTTGTAGGAGAATTACACTAACTAAACAAAGTACCTTAAAGCCCGACCGATTTATTTTCTGAAGCTTTCCATAGACGGAATGACACGAAGCAAACGATCCTAATATTTGGATGGACAACATGTTAAGCGTTTATTTATTGTCTTGGTTTTCTAACGGAAACACGTCTCCTTAACTTTTTTTCCTTTTTTTTTTCCTTTTAAAGGATGAAAATCTTGTCACTCAGATTCTTGCTACGATGGCTGAACCACGCAGTTTCTTCTCAAATAAACGTCAAAGCTTGACCTTTAAAAAGAACTTTCCAGAATTCTACGACTTCGCCGAAAAAAAAGTCAGAGAAATCCTGTATATCGGTCCTCCAACACGGCGGTGAGCGAGTACGTTTGGAATACAACAGATTTAAGAGTAGATTTTTAAAAGAAAACCAACGTTAAGATAGAATGATATGTAGCCCTATGGAACTTTGTAAATGTAAGTTAAAGTACTCGCTAGATGTGGTCTGCTAACACACCAGGGAGCTAAGGCAACCACGACCGAACAACAAAAACACGTCCGAGTAAAACGAAATCGCACAGTTGAAAAATTCTCTCCAGTTTGTGGAATTTTCACTACGAACGTGGGGTGATGGTAAAGATATCGAAGAGGTCATCAGCTTGGAATGTCTGGGCGTCAGTACATAGTAGAAACAGTACTCGCGGGATCTTTGAAGTTTTGCACTTGCTGTTAACATGTTCATGTAAAGCACAATACGACAGCAAAATTTACAAAAAGAAAAATATACATAAACATATATACGTTTCGTTACCTGTAGACAAAATAGTTAAAAATAGTTAAGGATGTTGTTTATAATATGTAAGATATTGAAAATTTTGTTTAGCTATGAGTTGTTACTCTAACCAATTGAAAAAAGGGCGTTTTCGGTTTAAAGTATATAGAAAGATTGCTTGGTACCGCATAGCTACGTTATATAATTATCTCAAACATATGCCTTGATTCCTCCGTTTCTTGAATGCTATCGGATAAGAACGGCAACAGCAATGAGAATGTCAAAAAAAAAAAACGTTTAGATTAGCAAGACAGAAACTTTGCACGTGCATCACACTTTTTAGTAGACTTCTCTGCCGTTGCTGCACGACTTCACGTTTCATGGAGGACTTCAACTAGTCACGACGAAATTTTCTTTCTCTTCCTAAACTTGGGTATGGTTTGTAGGAAGTCAATTCCAGGAGAGTTCGCCTACATCTAACCAAGTAAGTTGGAAAAATCGCAAGATCATTGAAAGAACGCGAATTCACTTCAGTTTTAAGCGATGCTGTCGCTGTAGTCGCCATCCTTGAATCCTGTGGTTCCTAATGCTTTCCCAAAAGGTGGTGGTGGGGTGGGTGCGGTGGGGGTTTTGGGGACATGTGGAACGGCGGGGATGGTCGTCGTCCCTTTTCGCAGCATAAATAACGGATTCTGGTATCACTTTGGGTTTTTAACACAGAATGCCCATACATTTCCACATACAGGCCTCGCAAGGGATGTGCGCGGCGCGCAGAAATAACGTAAGTTGGAGAAGAAAAGGAAAGCATGCAATGATGACGTCTTTATCGCAGTTAAGATGCCTGTAGCTCTTAATTGGCTTTGCTCTAAAATGGTATTCTTAGAGGTCGATCAAATAAAACTTGGGCCAGCCCCACACTGGTCTCCTTTCCAGGGTATAAATCAAATTTCCCGGCGATCATCCCGCCCGATTCACAAGGGAGTCGCCTCCTCCCTTATCTCCCGAGGCGCGCTTGATGCTAAAACAGGTTTCGAGCGATGATTGGTATATTGTACTGTGACTACTGTCTGGGTGGGTTGTGATTGGCCAGAGCAAGTACAATAGTTCGGTTTACGACACTCGACCCATAATCGCTCTAAGTGATACTAATGAAGATAGCAATGACGATGATCATGGAAGTGACGATATCATTGAAGATAGTAAAAAGGAGAGTAGCTATAGTTTTAATTATTGTAGTCATGATTACAGCGTAGTCACTTACGCTTAAGGATAACTACCTTATTAAGGTTCTTGTATAGGTCTTAGTATTCACCATATAAGAGTGCGTGCTATACGTTCGATAGTAAATATAAATAAATTGCAACAAAGTTGTGATCTTCTGATTCCTTTTTTATAGCTCAACTTTGGTGAGCATCTGATCTAGACTACGAGTAGTCCCCCATTTTTCCTCAGGGATAGTAGAGCGAACGAAACGCGAGCGGGCCTGAAAATCACCCCACGCGAGAAAAGGCGACATCGCCTTTCTCGAGTGAGGTGATTTTCACGCGCGCTCACGTTTCGCTCGCTCTACTATCCCTGAGGAAAAATGGGGGACTACGCGTAGTCTACATCTGATCAAACAGGATGCATATACAAGGAATGCTGGCCGAATACTTAGCAACGAGGGTGTAAAGCTACATGCAAATGGACACCATTGACAACACGCAACAACATACAACAGGATGTGCAAACGGACGTAACATGTAACATGGAACAATGTTGCGTCCGTTTGCACGGGGCTTTACCCCGTTAACACCGGAACTGATGGGAAAAAACGTCATATGGCCTAGTTTAATTCCATTGTTTGGATCTGTTGAGAAGGAGCGATTATTGCTCTCTAACTCACTGGCAGGAATTGCGAGTCAAAGAATTTTTTATAAAATTGCTGGTGGCTGGTCAAGTGATGTAGTTAACAACAGTTCCCTAAATGAGATTTGAAGACCTCTTGGTTATGATTAGCCTTAAACTATTACTCATTGGACACCTTCAAAAAGCTTTTTACATTTCTGGACTACCCTCCCCCCGCTAGAATATACAAAACCGCGAGTGAGGTCATTAGAGGGAATACATCAAGGCCTTGGTCTGAGAATTCCCTGTAATGACCGAACAGACGAGGTTAATAAGTTATTTATTATCTGGCCTTTTTCATTGTGGACCTGAGCCTGTGATCAACTAGAACCAACAACTGGTCAGCGGAAAACTTAAACAAGTCAACCGCAATGAGCTGAACAGTTGAGCTCGCGATACAGTGAGGTGACACTGGTCCGCGGATACCCTTTTTGACAGCTGTCAATTGACCATAACATGGATGTCCACTATCAAGTTCAACACAGATTGTGTATGCCTTGGACACCTAGCAAGTAATGCCCGGTCATTACAAGAAAATGATGCTCGGTCTTGACAAGAAAACAGCCAATCAGGGCGCGCGTACTTTTGTAGCCATCTAATAAATAATTCTAAAACTCTGTAAAGGAACCGGGCCTCCAAGATATTGACAAAACAAGAAGATGCAAGCATGAACAGACAAATGAACGTGATAGGCCACGGAGGAAACACGGCTTTTGACATACAAGAAACGACCGTTCTAACTGTGACAAAAGACGGATCAAAACGCACTAAACACATTTAGAGTCTTCATAGCAAATAACATCATGGCTTAACTGACAGACGACAAATAGCATCGCGACTTAATGACCAATCAGGCCAATAAGCAGTGTTTAATACCGTCTACTGACGTAAAACACAACTCACTTTGACTCTGGAGAAGACTACCGCAGAGGTTGTCGAAACGTAAGTCACGTGTCATATTTCACCTACTTATACTACTCATCTCCTAACGAACACCAGCAGTAAGAGGTCGAGACGTCGCAATCAATAACAAAGTCACCAAACGTGCGGCACAAGACTAAAAGACCGTATCAAAGGCTAAAAAGTAGGACCATCAAATCAGAATATTACACTACAACGCGTACATGAAAATTTTATTAGTCTCATTGACTTCTTCTAACAACAATCAATAACAAACGCTGAAGCTTACAGACATCAAATATCTATAAACACTAAAATAAGTAGCCCTTTAAAGTTAATATCAGCATGTATATTCTCTTCACTCTTTCCAGTCCTTTCTCGAGACAGCACGATGGAGAATTTGTTTGAGAATCAAGGCATTTTATCCCAATAACTGCAATTATTTCCATGACCATTGGGTCAATTAGCACATATGTCATGGGGGGAGTAAATAAATGCTAATCACAATTAGGGCTTAATGATTTTTGGTAAGACACATAAATGATATATTTAAAATTGGTTGGCTAGAACGAAAAGTCTCTTGAAAAAAATAAAATACCTAAACCCACGATTCCCATTGAGCTTGAATTTTTTTTACGTTCGTTTATTAATAAAAATACAGGAATTTGAATGAGATCGGGCAGGGATGTTAAAGAAACCACAACTTCTGTGAAAAACGAAAACCAAAAATACATAGTGACTGTCAAGGATACTTAAGTTCGCGTTGGTTCGCACTTGTCGTTCTCTACAATTACGAAAAACTTTGGCGAATCAAAGCAAACCAGAAAACGTCTCACCTTCGGCAGCACGTTAACCCAAGAGTATAGCTATCTGCGTTGTTTTAGATGGTAATGTGTTTTCCGCAATTAACGACTGTGGCACATTTAGTGGCTTGACGCTTTGACGACACCAATTGCACGTTTTCCCGCCCTAGGTATAATTTTTTCCTTTTTTTGTATTGGCTAGTTTTGCATTTGTAAGTTGAGACGAGCTACTTAGGTTTACTTATGTGATAAAATACCTATGTAACTAAAGTATCAATGTCGCCCTGAATATGGTTTAAGGTTTGGTGGTATGGTGGTATAAGCAAGGCCAACACAAATGCGAGAAAAAGATATCAACAAATATAGGAAAACTTTTGTTGTGATCTTCCCTTTCGAAACCTAGTTTAAAAGAACTTAAATGTGCTCTTGACTAATCAATCGATGCAAGTGTAAAACGGGTAGTTTGCAACTGAAATCTTTATTGCACTTTTCTCAAGTTTCCTATTTCAGGCCTCAACGCCTATATTGCCAGAAGTGAACATTTGCAGAATATTTACCAATAAAAGCACCAGGGTAGTTGGTGGGCGGAAGAACAATAAACTAGGATTCGACAGAAAATGAATTGGAGATGAAGGCAGTTATCCGATGTGATGAAAGACGACGATTGAACAATTAAATATAGACTGATATAATCAATTCTACCGCTATTATTAAATCCAAGCCACTTTATCTCTGTACATTTCAAATCACAAAAACTTAAAGATAAAAATGCTTTAGCTTTCTGCGAAAAAATAAAAGTCGAATGAGAGAATGTATATCAATTTCTAGCATTTTGACAGTGCCTCGCAACCACCGCAACCATAGCAACAACGGCAACTCCCACGACCATTGCCGACGCAATAACGACAATCACGACCGAAGACACGACGACAGCGTTATCGGAGGTATCCAACTGAACGACCTTCTCGCACTTCGTGTTGTTGCCAGTGGTCGCCACCGCCGTGATATTATGGGCTGCCAGTGTTTTGTTCGTCGGTTTCTCGGTGCCAAGTTCGTCGTCGTCAATGTAGTCAGTGATTTCACCGATTCCAGGCTCGCTGGGGGCACGAAATCCTCCAATCTCCGACTTGCTATCTGCGTCTTCTGCTGACTTATCTTTGCCCTTTGACTTTTCATCGTGAGAGTGGGGTTTCTTTGACTTTGGCAGATGTAGAGTGATCGTGTTACCCTCCATATGCGACGATACTGAATCCGATTCCTCAGTCTCAGTTCCCACAACAAGATAACGCCGACCGTCGATGGTAATATTGCCAATGAATTTATGGACATTCGCCTTCTTCTTTCCTTTCGACGGTTTCTCTTTAGCGACAATATGTTCCCTTCCTTCTCCGGTCTCGTGGGACTTGGACAAAATCTTCTGATCGCCCAACTTACCGAAAACCGAAATCCCGTCTGGTAATCCCGTCAGACCCACGCCCATTCCTGAGCCTACATCTTTGCTGGTTAGTGGTTTGCTAGTTGCTATTGGCCCTTGTTGTTGTGAAGATAACTCCTTCACTTGACTGCCCTGTTTATGAGCTTCGTCAATAATGTCAAAAATCTTCGGAATGGTTTCCTCCTGACCGCTGCCGCCTGCAGCATAGGCATTCGGCACAGCGGGCTCATCGATTATATCGAGAATTTCAGGCAGTGTGTCCCCTTTGTGAGTGTGTGAGCTGAACATAGCTGGTTTGTGAGCAAGTGTCTCTGGTGATTTCACAGGAGGAAGCATCGAGACCTCCTCTACGTGGCTTGAGGCGAGATGCTTGGTGAAACCGTTATGTCTGATCACGCTTTGTACGTCATTTGGAATAAGCGACTGCTCCGTGGGCCAGGCGTGTATGGCAGGCATTTTGTCAGTGGGTCGCATGGTGAGCGGGTTGACATACTTAGGGGTTTTCGCAACAATCTGTTCGACTTGTTTCACTGTATCAGCGATACGATTGGCACCACCTGGTGTCATGGTGGTATGAGCAAGTTGATGCTGAAAGAAGCCTTTCAGAAATCCTGTTGGGCGGAAAGGTTTCGGTCTCTGCGCGGCATAATCAAGTTTTGGTGAGACCCTGGACGCAATCGCTGGAGCTATAGACGCAGGAGGAGGAGCAGTGTTGATGAACGCAGCAGTGGAAGCAGTGGAAGCCATGATAACCGCCGGCGGTGCCATGCTTGCCGTAGAAGCGGTTGTTGGTGTTGTTTCGGTATTTGCTAAGGTCGCGATTGCCTCCTTATTAGAACCTTCCGTCACGTTATGTTCCCGGAAGTTGATGATAATATCTTCAACTTCTGGGTAGGTGTTTGCTTTATCGCTACTAGCCAGTCCTTGATCTCTCATAAACTGGTCAAGCTGGTTCTTCGGGGGACCGCTAGGCTTAGGTTTGGGCGAATCGTAGTAAGAATATGGATAAACATAGTCGTTCATGGTCTGATCAACATCCGTTTTCTCCCGCCATGGTGTCCAGACTCCTCCATGCTGATCAGGGTTTGCGCTTTCATCCGCTTGAGGGTACACTGCGGGCGCAGATTTTCGAGCATAGAATTTCAGCCTGTCTATCATAACTTTTAGGGTGTTAGGCATAAAATCAGCCAAGTTGTGATACTCGCATGGGTCCCATTTGATATTGAAGAGACAAGGCTTTTTCTCAGGGTTGCAAATCGGTGCTTTAGTGTACAGCAAAGGATGTGGATGCCTGACTGTACAGTCTACTGATGCATCTTTAAGCAGACTTGGCTTAGGGACCTGATCAAGTTCGTGTAGACTTTCAGGTCTGGGGTACCAGTCGCTATAGAAACTGCGGTTTTGGTGGACAATCATCTTGTAGTCTCCGATTCTTATAGCTGCCTTTTTCTCTTTTAAAGAATCCAAGCCATGCAGAATCTCGTATCTTGGGGACTGGGCATCATTTGAAATTGTATCCCAGACATTAAAACCGTCAATGGCACCCAGGCTCTTAACGTTACCGCCTGCCAGCGTATAGAAGGTTGGGAACCAGTCAGAAGCGTGCAATAAAGCAGTTGATACTCGACCTTAGTGGAGAAAGGAAAAATTCTTAAATAGATCGCAAATATAGCACTAGATAGATAACTTTGCAAATGATGGCGAGAGTCTGACCGATATTTTCATGATTGTGGTCGTCAGTCATATTTTGGCTATTTGGCCTAACTTGTCCAACGCGACATGAACAAGTCAACGTCAATTGATCGAAATTATCTTAACGGTTGGAAGACCAGGAACTACACAGTCATGACAAAGGGAAAGAGTTGAGATGCCACGGAATTAATACTGAAAACATAATTAAAGGCAATAGTTTACCTCTTTTCTTGATAAGAGGGCTGTGGACAAAACCCACTCCACGCACTCCTCCCTCCCATAGAGTATTTTTAGCACCTCGCAGCGGAAAATTTGAGCCCGCACTGGAGTCCAATCCCCCGGCGGCTGCGCCGTTGTCAGTGGTAAAAATGATGATGGAGTTGTCATAGAGACCTTTCCTCTTTAGAGTTGTGACTATTTGGCGAACTGACTCATCCAAAGCAGAGACCATACCTGAGATAAATTAAGTAAGAAATTTATTTCAAGGAGTGACTTTTCCTTGTACAAACAGAGGTACTAGTAATCACGTTTTGTAAATTCATTTCCAAGGCTCGCCCCTCATGTATTGCCCAGCGTCAGAGGCACCACATTTTGAAAACTTTACTCAATAATAAAACAACAACTTCACTGAACAGTAAGAATTCATTTGGAGAAAAGTATTCAAGAATGAGAGGGCAAAGAATGTGAATAACAAAAGGGGCGAAAACAATTTGCGAAGACCACAGGAAATCCAACAAAATGATTCAAGGTAATAGCGCTCTCGTGTTTTATGCAAATGTTTTATCACACTTGACCAGAACCACAAGAGTCGTCTACGAGGGCAACGAGAACGTCAATTTTACATCCACCTTTCTAGCCTGTATTGCCTCGCTAGATGATTGGCCTAAAATCCCCCGCCATTCAGTTTAAAACTCAATAAGAACAGAACCTACAGAAACAATATGAATTATTACACCGATAAACTAACTTAAAAGTATGACTCGTTTATAATTAGAACCACTTTTTGTTTATTACCTGCATACGTCCGCCTCTTTTCGTCACCGATGTAACTAAGACGGTCGAGGTATTTCTTTGGGACCTGGAGCGGCTCGTTATCATTCCCTACATGCACCGCTTGCTGTGCAAAGTACAGAAACAAAGGTTTGGAATCATCGTGGTGATTGATAACTTTGTCGGCTTCACGAGTGAACAGCTCCGTGCCATAAGTACCTGTTTCATTGTAAACGACCTGGGAAAACAACAGCAGACATTAACTAAGCAACAGTACCATCCAAAAATTCCCGACTGTTTTTACCGAAAAGGAACGAAGGTTCTCGAACTTGTTTTAAAAGGTCTCAAGTTTCTCCGCAAAAAATCCAAGGTCTCTTGAAGAATTCTACACTGAAACATACTTTTAGGTTATCAGAACCATTAGAACAGACAAAAAAATCATTAAATACTTACAGCCAAGTCTCTCCTCAAATCAAGCCCGTAACTTCCGTCATAGGTCACATGACTGAAATAGTCCTGACCGGAAGTCCAGAAGCCGTAGAATGAGTCAAATCCCCTGTAGGTAGGGGTGAATTCTTTAGCAAAAAAACCCAGCTGCCACTGTTGGAACAAAATGACGCAATCAAAACCTTATTATTAAACAAAGCCCATCACAATGTAAAACTAAAAGTTCTCCTTGCACAAAAAAAAATTAGCCGTTTGTCTATAGCCTAGCTACAGGCTTTTAACAATGATCTCAATATATTAACCTGCATTAGTCTCAATTAAAACTTTATTATTAACTGGTTTTACATCATGTGATATTTTTCGTTTTAACCTAGCTGTTACGTGCGCAGAAAATAGAAATTATATCAAGGGGGGAAAGGAAGATCCTTAAAGGAATACCAATTCATAGTTATATAAGCTTGGGAGAACGTGAACCTGAGGCAATAATTGCTTGTTTGCAAGTGACGTTACGGAGGCCATGTTGGTGGTCAAGAACAAATTAAAAGCATTTCTCTCCTCTGGGAGCTCCATTTTCATTATATTCTCCAAAAAAAGTATTGTAAGGACCACCAACATGGCCTTCTTTTCACCTGATTGTAAACTAAGAATACTCGTGATTTTTTTTTTCAATAATTGGGGGTGCTGCCCACCAGACAAGTTTCAACGTACCTTTCCTACAGCGTGGGTGGAATAGCCCATCTGCCGCAAATACTCTGGAAGAAGCTTCTCTTTAAGCGGCAACCCAAAGGGCTGTTTATTATGGATTGTGTCATGCTGAAGCCCTGGAAATCAGCAACAAAAAAATTGTAAAAAGAGATTAATACATAGAAAGGAAAGACAAAGGACATTAATCTTTTCTCTGTGCCATTAGCTCGAATGAGAAAAACAACTAAATTTTGGCGTTCTGGGGTTTAACCATCGACTAAGCTCGATAAAACCATACAATAAACAATTTTGGTTCGACATGCACGTGCTATAATTAAAGCTCAAATTTTCAACAACTTCTATATTAATGTAACACACATTGGCATGGAAGGCAAAAGTTCAAACGTCGCCTCAAATGTACCTTAGTTCTTTTCTTCTTCTTCTTCTTCTTCTTCTTCTTCTTCCTCTACATTTTTTTTTTCAGTCCAGAAGTCTACTTGTTTCAAATCTCAGATCGAAAAGCTCAAGTAAAGACTCCTTTAATTGCCGAAGAAACTGTGCTCAAGCGAAATCTGCTTTTCACACGCTTTAAAGTCCATTGTGCCATTCAAACAAACGTTTGAGCAATTACACACACGCGATGCCAAGCTTTTACGATAAAGACGATGATGACTGATGATTTGACTAGACATTTTATTCAGATAAAGACCCTGACGAAGATCTTCAATTTTACACACACCTTCTTTGGCTTGAATTGCCTCGCTGTATGATTGGGTTAAAGTACCCAGCTCCGTTTTAAACTAATAAGAATAGAACCTAAAACTTAGGTAACATGATAGCAAAGTGACTACTTTTTTTCTGGAGCGAGTCCATTTCATCTCCATATATGATTTCCCTGTACCTGTTTATAAGATGCCGATAAAAGAAACTTTGCTTTCGTACAAGTTATTCGGGAATGAGTTAATTCCGGTCTTCAATCCAAATGAAATTCTCGCTCTCCTTGTATGACATTTCATTCTGTTTCGTTCCGAAATGGAAATTGCAACCGAGTAGTTTGGGGTAAGTGGCGTATGCTTATCGCTTTCAAGGTGATTTGGCGCGATAGACAGGAGAACTTAAAAAAGCGTGAGTAGGGCGAATTTTTTGTGTGAAAATAGTACGAAATTGACAGAGAACAAAACTTATTTCTCATTCTAGTATTGTGTGAATAGCCCCTTACCATCAGGATTTGTTCTCCCTTGGTGCCATTTCGAGATCCGATTGGTTTCCCCCAAACGATTATCATAAACCTAAAACTTTTTGGGTTGGTATCTACAACGACACGACTTTGTGTCTCCTCTCTAAGAGCGACACTTCTCCATCACGCGCCTCCCAGCTACTCAAATAACCTATCCACAACGGCCATTTTTCGTTTTAAGAAAAAAAAAGAAGCAATGTAGATTTGTCAGTATTTTTGCTCTGAACCTTTGGGTTTTGTTTACTAAACTTGACCACAGATTGTGCTACAAATTATACCCAATTATAACTGTTTTTACCAATTAAAACGTTCTACCCTTTCTCACAACTAGTCAAATTACACCCCTAGCTGGTCAAAGTGACGGCAACCTTACCCCATCCTCTGTCCTTAAGGTAGCCGTTATAGATTGTGCATATTTAATAATGTATACTTGATAAATATAAATTGGTTACCTAAATTTAGAGCGTATTTTCCTGTCATGAAGGCTGCCCTTGTTGGCGAATCCATGGGAGACACATAATAGTTATTCAAGATAACTCCTGATTCAGCCAGCCCATCCAGGGTGGGAGTGGGGATCTGGGGCGAGCCGTGAAAACTTACGTCATCCCATCCCTGAAAAAAAAATTCAGTCAAAGAACGAGTTGAAATTACAAATACAGTGAGTCAGTAAGGGAGTAAAGCCAACAACATCAAGTCATTTTATAAATCATAAAAAAACTACTTGAAGTGAGGAGATGGTTATCAAGATGGTTAGCAAGGGCCCATAGAGTTGTTGTTGTTGTTGCTGTTCTCCACAAATTACGGTGGACTTTAAGGTATGATTTCTACTTTACAAAAACAAAACACGAGAAAATGGTGATTCGCAATGAGAATTATCAATGATTATATCCAATGAAAAACTTCAGTTGTATTCTTATGTTCATATTTTTCAAAGCGAGTAAAAAAGAATCACAAATTTTGAGCTGTTCAGAATCAGCATTTGCTGACTTTGTAAAACAAAACTCCTATAGATATAAAATGCTTCGACGTCAGGCAAACAAATGGAAACTCATTTAGGTAATTCCATAAGATGACAGTATTCTTATTGTTTTAAGTATCTTATATAAGTTCACAGGGGAAGCCTGGTTCCTTTACTAGTTCACTCACCAGATCATCTGCTACTATCATAATGATGTGGGGTTTCTGTGCACGTTGGTATGCCTGTGCATCAGCCCGACAGATTGAACAAAACAAAACAAATATTCCAAGGACCAAAAATCTTGGGACAACCCTAGATGAGGCCATATAATCTAACAAGAAAAGAATTCAAAACATTTAGTTAGAAAACTTGGCTCTATGTTTTGCCATGTTGAAATAGTAACTTTAGCAGCCAAAATTATTTGGTTCTTAAACATCGATTATTTCGCTTTTAAAACTGAGTTCGGTTGACTAGCCATCCTTAACGAGTATTGGGTTCACTGACAATCTCCATAAAAGCCCTCAAAAACCTTATTTTTCTTTTAGGAGACGGAAACATCATTTGCAGTTTCTCGTTTCTTCTTTTGTTCAATTCGAAATTCAGTACCCTTTTTGTTGGTTTCAATTAGAAATATTAGATACAAAATTCAAAATAACACGAAACTTAAGAATTTCTTCTTTAGTTACAATCTTCATGCAAGCAACCTCAAAACTGAAATACATCGTACCTACTCTACTGACCTCCTAGCAAGTTAAGGCCCCATTTTATACTAAGCGTCTTTAGCGGGTTTCAAACAATATTTCGATGTTAAAGCTGTGTTCCAAAAAAAATTATCCTGCTGGCTACCAGCTCGAGATGAAAGCAGGACCCGCAGTGGAGTGTTATGATAAAATAGTTACCTCTAAAGATTTAGGGGTCAGAACGGGTACCATGACAAAAATATGTGAGCAACGATCAACAGTTTCTTTATTGTGGAAATTGTGTGTGAAAGTCTTGTGGAAGAGTATGAAAATTATCACTACAATTCAGTATCAACGCCTCACTCACAGTAGTTACAATGAGAAGACTTTCTTAAGACTTACCTCAAACAAAACACGAGTTTGAGCAAACTTAAAACCTCGGTTATAATATTCAGTCTTTTAATTTTCTACCAGATTTTCATTTTACCAAACGAAGTTTACTAAGAAGCGAAAAGGGCATTCCAGTCCCCAAACGCATTTGCCTTATTTTATTTTCTTGTTTTCACTTTTTTCTTTACTTCTTTTAGGGTTTTTTCCCTTATCGTGTTTTAATTTGATTTAAGGGAGATGTAAGTAAATCATTGATCTCAAGTCAGAAAGTAATGTTTGTTTAAACACTCTAGAAACACATTTTCTTTTAATTTTCAAAATCAACGTTTTACGGTTTAGATAAGTCAAGTTAACACTTCCTTCAAGTACATAAGAGAAGTGTTCAAGAACCTAGTTAGAAAATAAAGATCTTTCACTTACTTCTAGCTTTCTTCTTAGCGTAAGTTTTATAAGGAAAAAGGAAAGGAAATTTAAATTATCTCGTCAGTCTTAGTTCATTGTAGTTAAACTTCTTTTTACGTAACTTTTAGGGTTCAGGATTCCAAATATCTAGCGCTTTCGGGTATAAGCTATAACAATGACAAACCATAAATTGCACAATTTAAGAACGTGCTACAGTATTGTAGTATGCGAGTTATTTTTTGCCATACTCTAAATTCAGCAAGGACCCCCTTCAACAATTCATCCTTCACTTTCGTGTCTGCAAACGCCTTTTCGAGAAATGTCATTCTAAAGTATAGTCCGTGATTGAGATCGCAAAAAGGCAATTTAAACGAAAGATATTGTCGAGACATTTTGGGTATGTTGGTTGTGCTTGCCTTTTTTTATTTCTCTAGTTGAGGGGATTTTCAGCTTTTTCTCTCCCTCTTTCTTTTTTCTTTTTTGTGTCCGCAACTCTGCTCGAAAAAAGTAAACCAAAATCAGCCAAAAAGTGTTTCATACAAAACAACTTAAAAAGCAAAATAGAAAACACCTTTTTAAACGAAAAACTTAGAAATTTGTCAACAAAAATTAAACATAACAATTGTCGAGTGACATATTAATTTTGCTAATTTACTGAAGCTGCATGGTCTAATTTCTTTACCACTGTACATTTTCCGAAAACTATTGTGAATTTTGTTCCGATTTGCTAGACGTATGCCTGTTTATTCATTTGTTTTTAACAAGACTTAGGTCAGAGCATTAAGTTCAATTCAAAATCTTTTATGACAAGCTCTCTTCTCACATTTTCAAGGGAAACTTTATTTTTTTTAGGAAAAAAGTGTCCATTGAAACCAAAGGTTTGGTTGAACAAAAAATTCGGAGCTCTTTAGCTGTTTCATATTTCCTGTTGCTCTTACCAGTGAGCTTTTGTTCGAGTCTCTGTGATTTTCAATGACTCGCATTCATCATTTATTTATAAGATATCTTGATTTCGATTTTCACTCACTCATTCCCTTCGATTATGGCTTTTAAATCTCCCTGTTTAATTAACAACTTACCGGCACCCTGTTTAACTTATCACAACAAAAGAAATTTCGTTTGAAATTTTCATCTTATGAGATAAAAACTGGTTAGTCAAATAAATCATTGGAAATACCACAAAATATATATATCTTTACTCCGACAGCTAAAAAATGGTTAAGCCTACTGGGTCAAGCCAATGGAATTATCCCTCAAAAATCACAACAGGCTAGATTTTTTTATAACTTACTAAAATATAACCTTCCCTCAAAGTGTTGATAATGAACCTAAGTCTACACTTATAATATACGACTTTGCGTCAACAAATTATAAACGTTCGTAACCTACCTTGCGAAGTCATTTCAGTTCTTTATCTCTTGGTCCTTGCTACTCTTCTTTGCGTGAAACACACATTATCCATTCTTTATAAAGTCAATAGAAATATCTAGAGACGGCTTAATGACACACCATCTTATAGGGCAAAAAATCTTTCAACTCTAGCTGCTTTCCAAATAACACCAAGCGACGACTTCTCGGCTCGTTTACAAATGCCAACGACTATAATTCCTAATTTGGTTTACGATCAACAGGTCGCACCAGTTAGAGGAAACCTGTTGAATTATTGAAGGCGCGAAAAATACGAGAAAGCCATTTGAATTCGCCACTGAAGCGTGGAAACAACGGCTTAAACGAAAACTGGCCCCAGCTTGCTGGCGACGAAACATGAAAAAAGGAACATCAGAAAAAAGCGCCGTGTACAGTTCGCGTTTGTCTTAAAAACTTTAACCAGATTAGAATTTTAGTTAATAGAAAAGAGGTGCTAGCTGGCTGTTTTATTTTTTCTTTAATAGTTTTAGCACAGATGCTTTGAGTTCAATCATAACGTGGTTAACAGAGGTTGCCTTTTAAATTCGTCAACCTGAAGAAGGTTTTAAGTTGGTTATTGGTGGACATAAGGTCCCGGGCACAAGGAAATGGAAAAGAAACTTTGAATTGAAGAAATGGTTTGGGATAATAGTTAAATTTTGAAAGCACCAGAAACTCACTGATGCATGAACCTATTGATCTCTAACCTCGTTCCCAGGGACTCTTTCGGGCGGCAAAAGAGAGACATCACAGAAACAATTAGTCGGAAAAAAATGATGACCCATAAGACAACCGCTTTTATTTTGACCACTACAAATAACTGTTTAAAATTGCAATCGCTTGCGGCGCAACACGTTTGCTGACTCTCTTTCGAACAACAACAATAATAATAATAATAATAATAATAATAATAGGCTTTATTTAAAGAGGGTAAAACACTTAACGGTAGTCCTAAGACACTGATGACTCTGTGGCCCTCATAACAAATTACAAATATAGATTCTACAACTAAAAACTATAAAATATACTATTTTCAAAGATAATTTAGGATGAAATATAATAGATAATTTCTAAAAAGACATTATGACTAAGATAGATAAAAACAACGTAAAACGTATATACAATTACAGTCTAAGGAGCATCGCAGCCTTTTGTTCAGCTAGAAAGGATTCAAAAACGTTACGCTTAAAACTCGCTAGCGAGCCATTATTTCTTATATTGGCATTCATGCAATTCCAGTCCTTTATAGTCCTAATAGTCAACGTGCGACCTCCTTCTGTTTTTCGTTTATACTTGGGGCACACCAAATTTATGTTTGAATGTCTGGTGGCTCGATTATGACTTTCTGAATTTCTGACTAATAGACTATTCAAATAAATAGGCGTAATATAATTGTGGACCCGCTTATACACTAGTGCGCATCTCTCTATTAGAGATTGTTTAGTAAAAGGGAGCCAGTTTAGATTATTGAATAATACGAATGATGGTGTAAGTCTTTCAGCATCAAGTATAATGCGTGCCGCTCTTTTTTGAAGTTTTAAAATACTTTGAAGATGTTCGACATTGCAGCTGTCCCATATCATGCTCCCATACAGGAGGGTGGGTTTTATAACACCATTGTAATAGGTTTCCCTTTGACGTTGCTTAAGAAACGGGCTAATACGCTTCAAGAGTCCTATGCGTTTGGAAAGTTTCTTACATAATTCATCAATGTGTGATTCGTAGTTCACTTGACTATCTATAACTACTCCTAAAATCTTATGAGAAGAGACTTGTTCAATAACAGTCATCAATCTTGACATCTAAGCGTAGGGGTGTGTCTTCATCCAGCTTAGCAGGAATGCGCTTTCCGTAAACTAAAAGGGACTTGGTTTTTTTCTTGTTGATGAACATTTTGTTGCAAGACGCTCATATCTGAACCGCATCAAGATCGGAATTTAAACGTTGGGTCATCGAGCATAGATCCGAGAAATACGCACTTGCGGTTATTGTAGTGTCGTCAGCGTAAATGTCCACAGTTGAATTTGTTAGATGAAATGGAATGTCATTCACAAATAACAAAAACAGTGCGGGACCTAAGACGCTTCCTTGCGGTACCCCTTGCTTGATAAGTAGAGAGTCTGATCTTTGACCGTCAATACTGACAAACTGCTGGCGACCAGAAAGATATGATTCAAACCATGATAGCGAAGGATCACTCACTCTATACAGGTGCAGTTTCGTAAGAAGCAATTGATGATCAACAACGTCAAACGCTTTTCTAAAGTCTACAAAAACCATCCCAGAAAGCTTGTCTTCATCTAGATTGAAAAGGATTTGGTCAGTTAAACTGATCAGAGCGGACTCGGTGGAGTGCCCTGCGCGAAAAGCTGATTGCAATTCTTACACTAAGCCAGTTTTCACAAGGTAATCCATAAAGGAGGCAGCAACATGCTTTTCACAGACTTTAGACAATATGGAGAGCACGGAGATCGGTCTAAAATTGTCCCGACAGTCTTGGGCGCCATCTTTAAAGAGAGGTGTGACGCGCGCCATTTTCCATTTAGTTGGAAAACAGCCACTCTGAATTGACAAATTGATCAACCTCGTCAATGGCTATACAAGAACGGGTGAGACCAGCTTTAGAACTTTCACACTAATTTCATCCGCTCCAGTAGCCTTTGAAGATGACAAGTTATCAATAAATTTCTGAGTACTGTTATCAGAGGAATATTGAACTGTGTGACAAAATTATCGACGGTCGAGGAAACAAACTCCTCAAGCTTTGAAGAGTCAAAGGAAACGGATAAAGTTTGGCTTTGCTTAAGTTTTGAGCAATAAACGCGAATGAACGCAAATTTTAGCTCACCGTTTCAACGTGCAAAGGTTTCTCAAAGGGCCATTACATTCACGAATCAGCGTGTAACAAGGCCTTGAATCGAGGATCACGGTTTCAACTTGGTTTTATCAACAGATAACTAACGAAAGGTAAGAGCATCAGAGCGATATTTTTATTTCCTAAAAGATGCCGCACCAGATTTTCGTTACACTGAACTAATCCGTCATAATTTCCGGGTCAACTGGTGATGTTATTTAAATTTCGGCTCCACTACGCAGTACAACATGAATAGAAAAAAACCATTGAGGTTTATTTTGGCAATTTCGGCCCAGCACCAAGAGCTATAACAATACGTTATTTTATCAAACAATCTGCAAGCATGACACGCCTTAAGTAATACGAGCGGCAGAGTATTGTTGGCACAGCAGTAAGATTTGTATATTCACGTTGGCTAAATATGAAACTTGACAGGCAGATAAATGGAGTAGAAGCCACCGAGATTACTATGCAAGGTATTTCTTCACAACGATATTTTCCGACAAAAGCGCCCTTCTTAGGTCGCATAATAGCCTCGCTCAGCACTGAAAACGCATTTTCAAATACACATCGCTCATTTCATCTTATAACGGTGGTTTAACAAAACTTGAATAATAATAATAATGCTGCAAATGTACGACCTTAAGAGTAGTCTCGGTATCTTCAAAGTAACCTACTTCAGGGAAAAAAAAACAGAGCAAAGCAAAATCATAGCCCTTCTCGGCTGCTTCAGTTGTTGCTATGGCAACCTTTCCGCACATCAAGAAAGCCTTTACCTATTTACCAACGACTGGACGGTTGTTTGATTTCATTATTCTGTCATTATCCGATAATAGGGAACGCCGAAAAGTAATTGCGCCCTGTAGCTTCTACTTGAATGGTTTCCCTGAAAAGAATTTCATCGGTGACTCAAAAACAGTTACAACAACCTTGTACAGGATAATCATAAATACTACAGCAAAGTACCGCTCAAAAGCTTCCATTTGAATATCACACTTTCTAATTTTATTCACAGATTCTAAAGTGAGAACCACTTCGTACACACAGGACAAACAATACCAGAGGATCTCACTGCTGGGTTGGATTTCATCCGTAGACTCAACAAAATGGAGCCACTTCGTATAGCATTAAAAAATGGCAAGCACGACAGAAAAGAACGGCTTAGTAGCTGTTCACTTGATTGGATACACAGAATTTCATCCGATTAAAACGTCATATCATGTGCTAGTGCAACCTCACATAACAAACAGTATTACACGAGGTGCTCACACTTGAGGATTTTATGATGCAAGCCGAACTGGTGGCAAAAGAGTGACACAGTCGAGAAATAGATAAATAGAGCAAATCTCAGTGAATAAAATACACCATCATATAGGTGGAAGATACACAATCTCACTGTCCTTTTTAGAGCGAGATAGCGGAACATAAACGTTGTCTTCGTGACTTATAGGCTCAACGGGTGATAAACTTGGTAAAGACAAACGGGTTCGGGTTCGTTTAAACTCCTCTGTCCTCCTTTTACTTGACAAAGCTTCGCTAAGTCTTCTTCGAAACTGTTTATTTGTAACACCTGAAAAAGTTGAACGAAAATACCTTTCAAGCTCCGGAAACTCCCCAAGAGCTGTTTGTTGTACCTCGACGATACGACGAAATTCCTTCTCAAACTCTCGATGAAGCAAGCCCAAGGTTTTTTCCAGACTTGAATTCAGTGATGAGTTGATAGCTTTGGCATAGCGAATTGCATTAACTACCTTTTTGTGAGGGCTTGTAGACAAAATACACTCTTCTCGCTTCATTCGTTCTTCCATTATTTGGAAAAGATCGTCATGATCCACAGTTATGTCATGATTCTGAAGGGCAAACGAATGCGAATTCGCTTTAATCTCGTCTAGTTTAGAATCATCTTGAACTTGCATGGAGCCAATTGGAGCAAACGGAGGAAACTTGACGCTTTTCATAGCAGACAGCTGAATTAATTTGGCATTCAAAAATAAAGCAGTTTCGAGGTTTGTTACATCAACTAAGCGTTAGGTCTCGCCCGGCCTTCGAGACAAAAAAGAATATGGCCATTTCAGTCGAATTTTATCTTTCTTCAAGGCTTCGTCAGCCTTAGCACTCCCTTTCTTATTCAAGGAAGTAATTAGCACTGCAAATGCGTCAAGAAACAAGAAAATCCGATAGCATATATTTCTCTTTTTTGTTACGCACGGAAGATTTGTTTTGCGACCTTTTCTAATAGAACATTTACATAGGCTACAATGTGTTCAAATTAAACTCGCTGTTACAAACTGTCAAAGATACGTTTCAATTTTCGTATTTTAATTTACAATCTTATAATTTGGGCCAAATTTCCATCACTTTATTTTCGAAGACACTCATCATAAACCATTTTTTATGACTTGCCGACAATTAATAACCTCGCAACAATAAAATCACCGTCGTTTCAAGTGATGATTATCTTTGTACTTGAAACGAAATTTCTAACACGATAATTTCCATGGAAATCCTCTAATGATTTTTATTCTAATTAACTTTCTGTGTTGATCTTCTGAAGGTGTAATAACGGAGAACTGGAAGAATATTTATTTTAAGCAAAGAAGGAAAGAACGTAGGTTGTAAATGTCAAATTTATGTTATCAAAAAACAAAACACGGGAGACAATTATAGTTGCGCCCAAATTTTAATCAACCGCCATTTACTATTAGAAAACAATCTATGGATATCTGAAATAATTTAAACATAAAAATGTATTATCTGTTTAAAAATTCAGATCAAACTTACGGTCATGCTGATCTAGGAAGAATTTCTTTGGCGCAGGATGAAAATTGTAAAAATCACAACCATGTCAGCAAGTCTCAAAATAGCAAATGTATTATATTTTGCTGCTTGGTAGAATCAATAAAGCTTGACGGTAAGGCGAGCAACGTACGACAAAGCTAAGTGGATCAGGAAGATAGTATGGGGTTTATTTTTGTGTTGCAACTGGTTAATGGTGTAGGTATCGTCTCTGTCTTTCCCATCGTTTAATTCCAATCTCCGTGAGCGCAAAAACCCACGGTTCAAGAAAAATTCCAAATTTTTATTTTGGAGAATGCCAGACAAATACAGTGGAAGCTCCATTAATTGGCCACCCTTGGGGTACCGGCAAGTGGCCGCTTCATAGAGGTTCGCCAGAAATGAGCGTAATCTTTAGCACTGAGAAACATCACTTTATTTTGAAACAAACGCGCAACGGGAGAAACATCACTGGTCCACAATCGTTCTTCACCTTCTGTTTGGGACTGTATTTTCCTTCATCGTTTTCTTAACATGAAGCCAAACTAAGTGTATCAAGCGCTTGATGGTCGCTTAATACAGGTGACAACAATGGGAGAATCATCATTGGGACAGCCAAAATGGCCGCTTATTAGAGGTTTAAGTTCCCATTCTTTTCTACAATTATTTCGGGACTTTGATTACAGGCCGCTGAATAGAGGGTGGCCGCTTAATGGTGGTTCAACTGTAATTATAGTGTTATGAGAAAATACTGCTGAAAAGGTTTTTGCTGAATGTTCACACCTTAGGATTTCGTCCATAGACTCACAAGTTAGAACCACATACTGCTGAAGTACTACAGGAAACTACTCGCGGTTTAGTAACTTTCACTTGAATGGTTGCATCAAGCACAAATTTCAAACATTAGAACAGTCTTGTCAGCAAAATGAATAAGGACTGAAAGACTGCCCTTCTTCCTCTTCCCCTTGACTGCCCCGAGATGGTTTTTTTGTTTGCTTTTGTTCCTTTGTTTGTTTGTTATTTTTATTTCTCTTTGTTGTCGTGGTTGTTTCTTTTTTTCGGGTACACCAAATGTCACTTTGACCTGGAACGCACGATCACGTAAAGACGAGTTCATAAGAGTTGCTGGGTGATTTGTGGGGTTGGGGGAGAGAAATTGTATTTAACATCTTTCAGTAAAACCGGTTAAAAGCTAGGAAAAAAGTCCCTTCCTACGATACTCACAGTGTTGGAAAAAGAGTACATACAGGTAAGTTAAAAAACTGTTTTTCCTGCGTAGAAGCTCGAAAATATCGCCATAATGACCAGCATCGTGAAACTAGTACCAAACAATGATTTTGAGTTTCTCTAAAACGAACACGCGCATTTCTGGCTGATTCTAGAACATAAATTGTGAACAGCGCTGGCAAGGAGGACGCGAAGTCCTCAATACGGCTGTCGACGGCTTCCGATCCAACCCGAGCGGATGAAATCACCCAGAGAAAATCCATGTGAAGCGGGCCGATTCGCTTCCTTCCCAAAAGCCCTTGTGCCCACGCAACAAGCATTCCCATAGGCCAATAGATACCAAGTCTCTGTATAAGCCCTTCGCCACCATGGTTACATGTTTCCCAGTTCCCAACCGAGACTCAGAATTGTTTTCAGTTCCAAAAAATATGGCGGAGCTTAGTAGGATTCGATCAGATTCCATTGCCGAAATGTTCTTTCGGTTTCGCTGTGGGATCTAAGCCATATAGCTTCATCCGTGTTGCGATATCACACAGATAATCTAAACACTCACACCTGAAAACACCAATGATTAAACCCTTAATCAACAACTACTCCATCCATAGCTCAAATGACAGCGAGTCAGAAATAAAAAGTTCCAGTTTACTGCACCAATTTGTAATATTTTTTAAGTTACTTGCATTAATGTCTTATCAAAGGCATGAACCTTACTGTAAGACGTCGACTTGATGTATTTTCATTTAAATTGTTTCCATTGTCAGACTATTAAAAAAAGGTTATCGTTTCTGCGTTGTTTGTTGCCGTGTTTCCAGACACCAACGCAACGTTGTGCGTTGAATGTCAAACGGCGATAAACTCTCAAACAACCGAAACGATCAGCATGTCTTTCAGCGATTATTCTATTCCTAAGGATCAAAATAAATATATCCAAATCAATGACATATTGATGCTTTTGTACTCACATTGTTTTAGCTTTCTGCCACGTGCCCCCCCAAACGTAAACTCCATGGCGACGAACAAGGACCGCACAGGAATCTGGGTATTCTTCCATGGCTTTTGCCATGCTTTCCTTGAAGAAAATTAAAACGAACCTAAACTTGGATTTCAATTACTTGAAACGATGCCGACAGTACTTATGGAGAACACTAAAGAACGATTATCGCCTTGAAGGTTCCCCTCGGCAGCTGAACCACCATATGCTAAAAAAGTGTACCTTATTAACGCTTTTTTAGCCGGCATCTAATTTCGCGAAAATGAAAGGGACAAAAAAGACAATCAATATTCGGCGCCTTATCTCACCTTTAAGTCTCGCTCTTCTGGTGTGTTCTCAATGATGGGAATCACAAGTTCTTCATCATACCTGGCAAAAAACAGTAACTTGCTTTAATAAAACAACAGATGCGGATGATGGTGCCGTTTATAAACACTTATCCAGTAAATGGTGATTTATGAGAAGTGAATGGCATTACTACACTATTAAAAGTGATTTTCCTTTTCCTAGTTCTATATCATACCAGAGACTCGAACAACTTTGCACAGAGAAGAAAGCTCTGCTAGCGGGAAAAATATAACTTTTGGTGAAGACAATTTAGACATTAAAGAATAATTCGAGCCCACATCATCTCTAAATTGAGTTTCTTATGGATAGGAAACATGAGTATATACAGTACATTATGTAGACAGGGTTAAAACGAGCATCTTTTGGATACACAGGACAACCAACCTGTAATTGATTCCTGTGGTGCCTTTCTTCATTCCCTTGATCATCTCTTGGTGAGTGATTCGGAATTCCTTCCCGGGATACAGAAGAGTCACCATGACACAGTGTTTTGAATGCGTGTGAATAACGGCCCCTGCACCTTTAGCAGAAAACATGATTCTCAGGGATATTCATGGAAATCTGTCTTCCCTTTCAAATTTAGCTATCTAAGAGGGGGCTCTACATAATTTGATGTCCCTTCAAAATTATGACTAAGTTAAACATCTGCCCTTTTCAAGAAAAAGTAGTAAATATTTGCAACTCTATCATGAAATACAAAATAAATTATTATAATAAACGTAATTTGTTGTGTGATTACCTCTCATTGTGTAAGCATTCATGAACAATGGTGTACACTGACTTTTCTTGAGCTTTTTTCTATCAGTGAAAAAAGTGTCACGTCAACAACATAATGGCCCCATCTAGTATCTTAAAGGAGCTGTATCACTAAATTCAGCAACATTCAAAGCTGGGAGCTGCCATCAAATTGAGTGAAACATAAAAATAACAGATCAAAACATCATTAAAGGAATTAGGTATAAATAACATAGCAAATACAAAAGAAGGCATGGATGGACGAACTTGAACAAGAATTAAAATAGATTTTAAAAAGTCGTTTATAAAAACGTGTTAGCATAACAGTGTTTTGAAGCTTGGGGGACATGTATGATCAGTTTGACATGAAGCTGCAATTTTGTAATTTGCCAGTAATTTCATCACTAACATCAGGGGCCGTGTAGCCAGGATTTTTCCAGAGGTACGCACACCTGTCCCAATCCCCTTCCCTCCCTCCTCCAAACCCCTTAAAGTCCCACATCCTTTTCTGGTTCCTTGATTAAAGGTGAGGTTTCGTTCTAAGCTCCAAGCGCTTTTTACTGTATATGAAATGATGAAATGACGTAAACTGCAATATTCTTGCGCCTTTTTTTGGATCATTGACTGAAGAACCTCAATCACTCTTCATTTAAGCTTAATTACAAGCTAGTATCTCAGACTTCTAGTTACTTTTATTTACTTTTGTTTACCATGTTGTATATGAACGCCTGTATTTGATGTTTGCAGAATTTTGACAGGCTGAAGTGAAAACAACGATTTCACGCTTTATACCATGCAAGCTTACTATCTGCATGTCGTTTACGATTGAGAGTAAATGAATGGAGGCAATCTGTACTTTCTTCATAAGGCATGTTTTACATAATTGTTTTTCTATATTATTATCGATTTTTTACCTTCGGCTTTTCAAGTACGCACGTGCTTACTGTGGTTACGGGTAGCTACGCCCCTGTAACATTTTAAGTTCCATTCTTAATAAGGATGTGTAATTGGCAATGCTAGCAAAATGAACTAGACAGCTGTGGCAAAGCCCCTTTAAAGAAAAAAAAAGAATTCTTGCTTACGCTGGAGGAGGTGAGCAAAGCTCATTTTCTTCCATATCACACACAAACATGTCTTCGGGCTGAAAGAAAATTATTTTTTTTCTGAGCAATCTTTTCACAAACCATATTAATCTAAACTTTAAAGAGACACGGGCATCATTCTGTAGTCTGTAGTCCATATAGCATACAGAGGAAGTTCCCAAAGTAAACACCTCAGTGAGAGAATCTAGTATTGAAATTACTCTTTATCCTGGCAAGTGGCCACTAGCAACAGGACTTTCACCAGGTGGCTGAAGTAATAAGATAATGTCCATTGACACATTCACAAGTCAACTAGTCTAGGCAGCCACTCTTTGTGTCGTTTGTTAGGAGAGAGGCTTTGAGGGGCCAAAACAACAATCTACTCTGTGAGAAGACAGGGTGCAACTTCATGCCGCCCGCGCCACATAAGTAGCATTTCCAGCTCCCACGCCATTTTTTTCCTTGCTTCCTCTTTTCAGGCATAGCCCTTTTTGATTGCAAATTACATGTATTTACCATTGTCACATTATTCCCCCTCCTATTTTGCCCAGTCCTAGCCCTTTCAGAAATCCCACCTCCCACTCTTCCCTCTCCCACTTCCCGTACCCTTCCTGTCCCCTATGTATTCTGACGGCCCCAGTTGTTTAAATGAAGGATAGCATTATCCATCTGACAAATCAATTTTCAGCATATACTTTGTAAGTATTATGATATGATTACCAACTGCATTATCTACTTAGAAATTAAGCCAGTGGATAGTGTTATCCACCTTTCAAACAACTGGGGCTTGAGCTTCTGCCACCCTGTCCTCCCCAACTATCCTGAGCACTAGAGACTTTTCATGCACTGTTTCTGCTGCTGGTCAAGTCTTTACCTAAGGTACAAAGAATCCAGCTGCATACTGTAGGAGATTACCCACAACCCCCTGTTTGAACATAACAATAAAAGTACAGTAACATAACGAAATCGCTTTGTTTGCATTTTTATGAACATTGTACTACCCTCATGATCTGAATTATCCATTCCCATCACGGTAATATCTATTGCTTTACCTTAATTCTCTCCTTTTGAACACCAGAAGGCGCAACGAATATCTCACTTCTGTGAGGAAAGAGCACAGAATACTTGACTGAATAACCCATGATTAACTACTAAATCTATTTAAAGGGGCTTTAATGTCACGCTAATTATTGCTATGTTTCTGAAAGCATAAACAAGTCATGTCCTAAATTAATTGAATTCCAACAATAATGGCCCCACTTTTGTTTTTGAAGACCATAAAATTCAGGCACCAAAACTGTTCCCTGCCATCTGTTGCAAAGGATAGCAAGCCAAGGATGGACATGGATTGAAACTTGAACAGTTGGGTCAACTTATGCTGACCCAAAAAATTAAGCCCCAATATCTGCTACAGGTCAAAATTATATTCAGATATGTTTTTCAACCATAGTTGATTCTCAATTTCCTTTGTCTCCTAGCCCTAATTATTCACGAATTAGGGCTAGGAGACAAAGGAAAGTTAGAATCAACCTAGGTTAAAAAATTTCAACCTGAATGTAATGTTATTGTATTTTTTGACCTGTGACATACTCCACATAGTGTTACCAGGGGTTTCAATAAAAATTGAAGAAGCCAGCAGTTTGGTTAGAGTAACCGACTGTATCAACAAGGGGCCGTTGGTCCCCTTTTCTAGGGGGGGGGTCAAAGTGCATTCCGCCCCAGAAAATTTTGAATTGCAAAAAAATGTGATTTTCAGTGTTCTGGGGACTAAATTTGAGAACAAAAGAACGTGTTTTTCATTCAAGAAAATGTACCTTTCAATTTACAAGTCACACAATCAATTCGTACGAGCAATGAACAAATGATGAAAACTAAATTACATACTTTTGCACGTAAACAAATTCTGCGTAAGCCTCTAAGAAACTTTTGAAAAAAATGACTGAAATATAGCGTTCACATGACTAAAGCACAGCGTAAAACCAGTGGGCCTTTCGGAAAACAAATCATAATTATGTTTTCATTCAGATTTTATGATATATTTTTTGTTTAAACCGTTACTCTAACTAGTTGCTTTTTCTTTCCTTAAAAAAAGTAGCAGACCTCTATGAGCAAAGAAGCCGACGTGTTTCGTCGGCCGTCGGTGCTTATTGAAACCCCTGTTTTACACATTCTCCAGAATTAGTTGAGAGAAACCCAAAGCATATTCCCTTTGGTGATCATGCTATTAATTCTCATGACCGATTCTCTTGATTATGTATTGATTTTGTTGGCAGCAAATTGATGTTGGCCACCCTTGGGATGTAAAGGATTAAAGGTGCTGTATCACTCAATCCAGTTTCAGGTAAAGCCAAAATCAGCCATTAGGAACTGGTTACCAAATTGAGAGAAACATCAAAATCACCATTTTAAACAGTAAAGGAACTTTTACATGTATATATATTAATTTGCATAGGAAAGAGAAAGGAAGCTGGTAAATGACCAAAAAAAAAAGTTAAAATAGATTGCAAAAGGGGCTTTTGTATAGCCTAAACTCTTTTGGGGGCACAAAAGAACCAAAAGCAAATGCAACTTGTTTTACATAACCTGGACTTGAGTACTTACAGAAGGACCCATTTATTTTTTTATTTTATCTTAATTATTATTTTGCATTCACCCCTCAAAACTCCAGGACCCATCTGGTATCAGATTGGTCCTGAAGTGTGACCAAAAACATAACCAAGTCCTTGATTGGGAAAGATAGGCCTGTCTTGCCTGCTCAGGTAGGTAATTGGAAACAAGGATTCCCTTCACCTTGCTAGCTTGCAGAACCGACCTATAATAATACCCATACTTAATGCAACAGTACATAAAGTGCATTAAGCCTGGTTTTCATATGTTGGGAAAATCCCAGACGATCAGGGATTTTTCTTTTTGCTGACTGTCCTAGATTTTGCCGATATATCGGATAATTGCCACAAGTCGTCCCAGAGACGCCATGTTTATGTGTGATAGGGAACTGGAACCCAGCAATTAAGGGATTGGTAATGAGCGAAATCCATCGCCGATGTCCTTGACGGTACAAATTTGAGTTTTCATTTGTTGGGAAAGATCGCCGACCATAGCAGAAATCTAGGACGAGTCGGGAAAATAGAAATGCTCCTGATTATCCAGATTTGTCCCCGTCCATCCTAGATGATCGGGGATATCTACAATTTCGAGTTTTCATTAGTCAGCAAAATCTGGGACAGTCAAGAAACAGTAAAATCCCTGATCGTCTGGGATTTTCCCGACATATGAAAACCAGGCTTTACCATAAAACTTACTAACCCATATTTAATGCTTATCCCTCCTCCTGTCCCTGTGACCCAATCTAGATTGTAAAACTGCCGACACAGCTCAGGAATGAGATTTCTTGGATGTTCAGGATCCTGTGGTAGAACAATCAAAAGTAACTGACCACTATGGAGCATATTTGCTGAACACCTATTAACTCAAAATCTATTTAAACTGTAAAATGGCTGAATATTTTTGGGAATGGCAGCAGCTTAATAGTTCTTTCTCACTGTTCCTTCACACTAAACTTTTAAGCAAAATCTGCGAAAATAATAATTAAGTTTTGTCGACCAACAAGGCCACTTTTGCCACGTGTGGCAAACTTTAAATATAATAGAAGCTTAAACAAAAACCGCCCACACGTGCAAACGTGGAAAAATGTCTTATTTTAAATATTTCTACTTTCTTTCTCTCATATATGCAAGTATTTGGGCAATAAAAAATTATTTCCTTGTCATAGGAAAGAGTAAATTGATAGAATTCAGGCACTTCATTCACGTACGTTCATCCTCGCATGGTTGATGACACGTGAAAAAGATTGCTCCTACCACATCTTCGTCTATAGTTCGTACCAAAACCAAACTCTGTTGATCAGTGCAAATTTAAAGTAACTAAACAGATAAACATCAGCTTACCTTGGAATATTCAGCTTGCAATGTGCTTCGGTTCGCGTTCGATAATTCCGCCATAGTGATCTCTTGCCAGCCTTCCTCCTTCCGTTTCGTCCGCGCCCAATAACAAGGCCTAGGGACTAGGGACTAGGTAATGTCATGTTTTGAACTGTTTTACATTAATTAGTGGAATTAGAAATTTAAAAATTTAATAGACCAGTAGCTTTTGCAATACTCAGGGGCTCCTGCAATACTGTAATACCTTTATGGTCATGCAAACGCAGTGTAAAGCTTTTGTTGTTGTTGTTGGGTACGAGAGTGAGTCCAGCCCTGGGGTTCCCGTGGATAACGGTTGCGTGAAGTTTTGACATCACTGGTGTTTGAACCCAGAATTAAAACGTTAAATTCAGTTTATTAATCATTTTTGTCTACATTTCGCTGATTGGATGTTCTAAAACAAAAGAGAGAAAATTATCCGAGGAAAAGCTTTTGAACAAGAATCAAGGATTAAAATCTAATCGGCCTTCGAACAACTGGGCCCTGGCTACTAAAAAACAGTAATACTGCTAAAAGCAGTAATACAATTTTTTGCCTCAGATTTTCTCGGTTCTGTTAACACAGTCTTTAATTATAAATAGTGGAACCCCTCTCTGTATTTTCCACTTTTCTTGTTATCCGTGTCAATCCATGGTGGCTGGTAGTCACGGAGTTGACGATAGTGTTTATACCCCTGTGGGTAGAAGGCGGCTCCCCATTGACTGCCTCTTCCACAGGCTTCCCAAGGCTCAGTGAAGAGCACTGAAGGGAGAGAAGAAAGCGAGAAAGAAAACAGCGCGAGCGCCGTAGGGGGATGATGGGAACAAGCGTCGAGCTCGAGAGGGGAGTGATACTATCACTTCCTTCGTCCCCCAACAAGTGATCGCGCGCGACTGGGGACGAGGCAGCTCCGTTGATTCAACGGAGATGTTCAGCATAACAGGAAACAGATAAATAGGGGTTTTCAGGGTCATTCATACAATTCCACAATTTAGCATCTTAGAGAGGGGATCTGTCACCAAATTTTCATAACGCGTTTCAGGGACGTACGTAAAACTACTAGCCTGCGTGGTCTTCGGTATTTCTCCTTTTAGCTCTAGCCAAAGGTAAGACGAGGCACCTGCCTTGTCTAGATCAGTATAGGCAAAACTAAAAACAAGGAGCATTAGCTAAATAGACCATTTGCACTGAGAGGTCATGTGACATGGTTTCTATGAAAATGATTATTTGGTCACATTTTAAACAAACTGATAGTGATTTGGTTCGTGGACGGTCACGTGACCAAACTACGGTTTTTTTTTTTAAAGTTATGAATTACCTCTTTCTGAACACAAATTTTGCATTTAAACTTCAAGAAAATGTTGAAAAGATGGTGTGGTACCGTTTACAGCACATCTGAGCGTAACTATCAAACGTTTGACGAGATACAAGTAAAAACTAGTTTGGAGGGCAAGGGTATGCCGTCCAACATGGTGACCAACACAAATCATACAACTTTGTTGAAAAAATCAAAGTGCAATAAATATCTCCCTTAAAAGAGTTTTCTTTCAAATTTGAGGTGTAAGATAATTTTTACGTGCTCTGTCAGCAAGATTCCAACTCATTGTTTAAAGAAAGTATTGGTCAAGGGACCTCTTAATGCAAGTGACCAATTGATAACCACTCGAACAAAATTGTTTTTCTCAAAAAAATCACCGTGAAAAATGTTGAAAATAGCGTTTCAAAGTTTCTAGATCACACAAGTTTCTGTGCTGAGGAGATACCCATCACCCCTTGCGGCGATCGCTGTTTTTGGCTCGGCTTCGGCTCAACGATCACATGTAGTTCCGGCTTGGGATTCTCATGACGTTTAATTTTGTGTTTTTTCAGCCAGTTAGTTAGTTAGTTAATTTTGTTTGGTTTCTGTTTTGTTTGTTTGTTTTTTCTATTTAATGTGATAGTCCCCTGGGCCAAACTAACAAAATTCTTGTCCCCAGTGCTTTTATCCTAATTTTTCCTGTTTGAGGCGTGTTTAAAAATTTCGTTTTTTTTTTCAGGGGGGATAAGGACCCCTGGATATCTCAGATATCTCAGTTGTGGAGAACAAAGACTTTAATTTCACAGAAAAGTTTCATGCAAAAATCATTGTTCAGGAACCACGTGTATATCTCAAATAATTGATAAAACTTAAACTTGTTTACAGCCGTTGATCCGAAGCAATCAGTTCCAACGTTTTCGGGAAAAAATGAAGAAAATGGCACTTTCGGGAGTTAACATGGATGTTTTCCCAAAGATGCAAGATTCGTTTCTTCCCTAGATACAGGGGACATCCCTGGGGTACGGAACGGGAAACAGGTCAAGTGCGTTCCTAGATCTTCCCTGGACGTTATACTGTAATGGCTGTGGTAGCCTGCGCGCAGACGAAATTAAACTCTGGTTAACCCCGTCTGCGAAACAGCGCCGAAATCCTTGTTCTGGACTTCCAGCTGTGTACCCAGATTTGAGTACGCGCCACGATTGGCCAGTTAAAAAAAGCCTTTGTTTTGTTTGTCGTGATCGCCAATCAGGTTGAAGGGGAATTCGAAACGCACTTCCGGTAATTCGTTGAGTCCGTTGGGGGTCCAGAACAAGGATCTCTGCGCTGCTTCGCAGACGGTACTAATCAGAGTTTAGTTATCGTCTGCACGCAGGCTATGGCTGTGGTGGTCTAAAAAAAGTTCCACAAACACGTGCTTTTCAGATGCTTTATTTTGTATCTCCTACTGCTAGGACTACACTATCAGAGCTATGTGAAGACTATACCATTACACCAGCCTAAGTACTTGCTATGAAGGGTCAGAAGGGGAAATGTGTTCAGGTATTCGTTTCGTTTCGTCTAGTAAGACTCCTAGTTTCGTCTTAACGCACAAACACTGCCAACACGTCTGCCTCTCCTACGTCATCTGAAAGAAACCAAAGAAAATAAGGAACAGTTAAGGAGCTCTAACAACGTTACCCTAAAGGTCCTTCTCATTCTGGAGATTATCAACGTATAGTAGTCGGAAGAATGACCTCAGTAGCCGATCAGAAATTATTCTGGTTTACAACCAGATTACAAATGGAACAAAAACAACAACAAGCCCCTCCCATTTTCCAAAAGGAAAGCCAGAGGGACGAGGTGGTTGACAACCTTGCCTTCAGATCTAAGATCTGAGAGATGTACAGGCCCCCATGTTTGACGAATCTGCCAAATGGTGAAGAGAACACCATTTGAAGCAGTGCTAGTGCCGGATCTGAAGGATGGAGTGGCCGAAGGGTGAGAAGGGGGAGTGGAGGCAGGGAACCCCACCAAACTTATCTTAGACAAAACCGAGGCTCAAACTGAGTAAAAGAATAATTTTTTGGAGGGTGGGCAAGGTCTTGAAGAGTGGCGTAAGCGATACCGGTTGGATTTACACCTCAGAAAATGAGGCTCCTTCTTACCATGCAAAACCAGTCACTCAAAGGCGATCGTCAAAGTTTTCCCACAAACAAAAGCAATTCTCAGTCTGGATTTATATAGCCGCATACCTAGCAGACAAGGGGGTTATAACAAGTCGGAGCGCATGGCCTTCGAGCGAGTAGGTCGCGCCATTTTGTCCTCCAGTTAAGTTTGAATCTCTGTTATTTCTATTACATAAAAACCTTTAAAGCAAAGCGGAAGAAAACGATGGATAAACTTAGAAGAGAAAACGATAAGTTGACAACCGATCTACAAACGACCAAAAAGAATTTCTTGCTTTTGACTTCATTACACGTATTCTTCTTTTCTCTTTCTTTGCTTTTTCTTATTATCTGCATGTAATATCCGATTTGTAATGACTGAGTGCCAAGAAATTGTATAGGCAATATTATGATATAAATGTCTTGGAACCGCCGGTTATTCCCAAATCATTCCCTCTTGGTGCAAGGTGGTAATACCCCAATCATCATCTATATTCTGTTTTTGTAACTGTACTCTTCTTTAAAACTTTGCGACTGGAAATTCTTCCCAAAAAAGGAAACATTTCGAAAGCTGAAATCAAGTCATACAGACACTACCTGGCCCCACCAGTCGCTCAAACGGTGGATAGTGCTATCCCGCACTGGATAAATCACTATTCAGAGGATAAGCATCAGGGAAAACAATCCACGGCTTTATCCACTGGATAGCACAATCCACCTTTCGAACAACTGGGCCCAGTTGGTTGACTCACTTTTCTCCTCCCATTTAGTGTATTTCGATAACTTGCTGTACAGTATGGGGTTTTTGTGTTGGTGACCCCTCTCCCAGTCACATTCTTTTCCGGCAATTACCATCCATCCGGTATAACCGGCGCAATTTCCTGCATAGGCTCGGTTGACGAAGAAGTGCCGCTTCTTTGTCGTGTCTCCACTGATTGAAAAGTAGTTCTTTGACTCTTTTTTGATATCAGACCACTGGCTGCTGTGAGTCAGTTTGGAATCGCTAAACCAGTTTTGATTATCCGTTCCCTTGGAGTTGAATTTCAGTTCCACTTTCGACTTTCCTCCTTTATAAAGACTAACTCGAGCCTGTTAATGAAACATATTTCAGTTTGAGTTATACACATATTTGGCCCGGTCGAGACATTTCTGCAGTAGTTATCCAGTTTTTTAATTAAGCAGTTAGACAGTATTACGCAAAACATCTTTCTAATTACAGCACGAGTACATCTCCAAGTATAACTTGAACACATGTCTTAGGAATGGGCGTGGCTAAGGAAGAGGGGGAGGGCACTGTTTCAAGCTATTTAATATTGCCTTAGTTTTGAGGTGGTCTCTGTTTGAGAAAGATGATAACATTGTCACTGTTTTGAGTACCTCAGATGCGTCAAACAATTCCCAGTTCAAAACTATCCGGTTCTTGTAGTGATCGCGGTACTTGTTAGTGACGTTAAGAGCTTCCACTTCATCCTCGGAGAGGGTTTGATCAGATTTATAAACTTCATACACATCTTTCTCCACTCCGCCCACAGCCTTAAATACCATCGTCCAACCTAGATAAAGAGCGTTAATCACAGTGAGTCGATTAAGAACTATGACGTCAAAAATTTCAGTAAGAGATCTACATCCTAATTTACAAAGTGGCGGATCTGCGTTTTGAGCTCAAGCCCCTGCACTTTCAAAGAAGACGCCACGGAAGCAACAAACGTTGCAATTTCGGCAAGGCAAATAGACTCAGACTGCAAAACAGGCGACTTTTTTTTTCTTTTCAAAATTGCTGCGAGCAAGGCTCGAAGCTGCACTGTCGGAAACTTCAAGCCTTTCATGGACCAGTTCAAAAATAAGAGAGAGGAGAGGGTCGAGACAAAATAACCTTGATACTGAAAGAAAAGTATAGAAAAAAATAACACAAAATGGCCAATAAGTATGTCGACTGAAGGCTGACTGAAGAACTGGAGATTTTCTAACGCTAAGGGTGTTGTGAACTTGAAAATATTTGAAATAAACAATAGTTACAATTAAATTTTGACTCTGCTCACCATAGACTATCCAATAATTGCTGCGGAGCGACCGTAGGGAGCGAGCAGCAACATAATCAGGATTTAAAGGAAATATAGAAGGGGTGACGAATTCTCGAATTCATCACTTTTTACCACAATGCATTGCATTTAACCACATTTTTTACCAGAATTCATTGCATTTAACCAGAGTGCACTTCGCTACTTTTTACCAGACTCCATTGTGACAGGGACAACTCAAATGTAAACACGACGAAGAGCGTGCATCGTTCGCCGCCCAGACCCAGAGTTTTCTTTGTGGCAAATTTTCTAAAGCACGGTTAGAGGTCTTAACAAATTTAAGACACGCAGGAGTCTTTCAGACGAGTACAATGGTTAACTTGGGGATTGGATTTCAAATCAAGAGCCTTTGACTCGTCCAGGCGTTAAACTTGACGAGAAGATGAGCATTTGCTCTTCGACCCCGCAACACGGGGGATATACAAATTCCAGCTTGCTAGAAGGTGATGTGAAAGTGAGAAAATGTCATGCCATGCTACTCTTAAGAACCTGTATGAGACGAAAATGGATGTGATTTTGACCATTCGCTTCAAAATAACAGCGGAAATCGAGATAACAAAACATATGTATTGCGTCGTACTTTGCAGACGAGGACGTGTATCGTCGTTTTGTAAAGTTTGTAAAGCATAATTATGTTCGTTCATTCATTCATTGCCATGGAATATGCGTTTGCATTGTCTCTTTTACTGTTAATAGACCAGTTAATGCAGCGTGATCATCTTGGCGGCGGAAGGTTCATACAAAAGGCGTTAAATCAAAGACTTTTCCCCGAGATTACGTAATCCGCCTCAGTGGTGTAGTGGTTAGGTGTAGTCGCGTCGAGCCGAAGGTGCTGGGTTCGAATCCCACGCAACTCTTTTTTCCTTCTTTCTTTTTTTTCCCGTTTTTTTGTGTTTTTATTTTCTATAAATATATACCTAAATAACTGTTATTTAATAAAGTGCAATAAACAGCAAGAAAAGTATCGTGTTTCTAGTGAAAAGATAGTACACCCTATATTAAATATATGGATAAACAATCTGAATTTCTATCATTTCCTACAATTTACTGTGGGAAAACCAGAGTTGATAACCACTTGTAACGTTCCCGAGAGTTCTTTCTGTAGACTGATGGTAATTAGTACTTTGCAACATGTAAATAGGACATTCAATGCAATGTCATTTTCGATTCTTTTAAGTCTCACGGCCTAACTAATGCCAGTATCAACAATGTGCCGCAGCATTACTATCTTTTAGATACCCTAGTTTTATTATAGCTGAGTGGTTAGAGCATCCAGACTCGAACTCGTGGATTCGATTCGCACCTGGAGTTCGAAATTTTCCGTCTGAGCTTTCTGGTGTTAAAATTCTCCTTATTCCAAATACTAAAACGTTTATTTCGTAAGACAGGAATACTTGAAGGGTGTATCAATTAATTCATTCCTCACTAGACAATAGCTCTATGTCACTAACCTCCGGCGTCCATGTCACAGAAAACTGGAAATGCAGTTTGGGGGACTATAAAAGAAATAAGAGAAAATTTGAGTTCTCATTTACATATTAGGAATTGAAGATCATTGAAGTGTTGAAAAAAAAAACATGATTTAGAGTTATTTTCACATGCTGTATGTAGGACTTTTTATTTCATCAGCTTGGTTTCCCTCCAACAGGTCAGTAATACTTGGAAACTCCAGAACAAGGCTAATTTCATCAGAGTGAAGGTGCATATAATTTACACCATAGAAAAATTTGGTCAGATTTGTAAAGAAATACTAGAGTTTGCGCCTATGGCCCTGCGGATATTATATTTTCCTCGTTTTTCGTTTTTAAGGCTGGGTACCCCATATATATAGGACCCTAAGTGCCCATAATTGAAATATAAATACTTAAGGCTTGCATTGTTAACAGGCTTTTGGTGAAGCTGCACGGGCTAATATCCACTGCATTGTTATGGAACTGAATACAGAAACACTGATGAGGTCACATGAACTTTTGTAATGACTTTAGCTCCAGTCAGCTGCATAGTACGTAACGTTACTGACGTCACTGGTAAAATCTGATGTTAGAGACCTTTAACTCCTCCAAGACGACAGGACGACAACGAGGACGAGATTTTGTCCAATACAAAGAAGTGCGCGTGCGTGAACCAGCTTCATTTTGGCACAGATTTTAGCAAGAATGTCCTAGTGCCAGTAGCTAGTCCATATTTGCCTTTTCCCTTCAAAATAGCGTGGTCCCGGGCTAGTCAAAAAGACGTTTTAAGCGACCCACGTCCGGCCCCCGAAAGTGGGCTTTTTTTTCATTCTTGGGCAGTTCATTTGCACAAATGTTTGGGCAAATATTCTCTACAAGGGTAAAGAAACTTAGCAATACAAATTTGGTATCGTCAAGGAATTCTAAAATAAAAAAGACTTCACTTCCGGTTGACATGCGTCGCTCAAAAACGCCCGTGTTTTATGCCCCCTTCTAATTCCAAACTCGCGTTGTACGAGGAGTTTACAGTTGTAAGATCGGTCAAATTTTTCGCGCCTCAAATTTATTTCACCTCTCAGAGCGAAAAAAAGTCTGGATGTTGATTGAAGTGAAGGTAAGAACTTACCAAACGGACATCCCAAGAGTTCCATCCTCATAGAAATATGGCTATACCATGTCTTAGGATGTACCCGAATGTAGCGTGCAACTATGGTAGGCTGCAAACTGTTCTTAACCACGGTGTGACGGTCCCGGTTTGCCTGAAATTCCTGCAGCGGTAAATCAAATGTTATTAAACTTTAAAGATCCTGGTCATAGTAAATTTTTCGTGTTTTCATTTTGTGGAGAGAAGAAATTGTTCAAATCAGCACCCGGGGTGCTTACTTCATTTTCTGCAGCGAGGGGGGTCGCCTATGAAATTGGACTTATTTCATGCAGTGAAGCGTCTAAACGTATCAGTGTCATTAGTAGTAAAACATGTTGACGTGAATGGTACAAAGCTCCCTCTCATTCTCTTCTGAGGAAGAGGCAGGAGTACCGCAGAATTTGAGCTAGCTGAAAAAAAAAACATTGGCTAATTAGCTGGCTGGGAAATCTGAATGAGCGCCTCGCTAGCTGAAAATATGAAAAGTTTATGCCGGTTCTGGCTGGATAAAAAGGTATATTTTTTCTCCTGGCAATCGCACTGTAATTTTTTATATGGATATTAGAGCAGGCGAAGCAAGTAAGTGCGCTTGAAAATCACCCCACGCGAGCTGTGGAAATGACACCTTTTGCCTGTGAAAACGGAAATTTGTTTGGGTGTGTAAGCAGAACGTCTTACTGTGAATACCTTGTAAAAGATACACGTAGAGAGAAAATGACACAGTTGAGTCAAGCACCGCTCACCGCTTTGTTTTTATTCGTTTCGCTGTCGATCCTTTATAGAAAACACCTTTGTGTGTTCGTGTTTTATTATGCCTGTCTACATATCAGTTACTGGCCTACGTTCTACTTTAAACCTGATGTTAAGGTGGCCAAAAGGTAAGCAAAATGGTTGTGTTTCTTTGTCAGGTTGCCGTACATTCGCTAATGCACATAAATGCCATCAAATATTGAGACGATTGAATACAAAAACTCTCTCCAATAAATAATGCACTCTGGTCTCTTAGCGGAGAGAACTGAGAACTGATTTCATTCGGTATGCTAGTTTGCAATGTTAGGGGTGACGAATGGTAAAATCCGAGCCTTGCCGAGACGCCGAGACCCTAGTTTAAAAGAAAATCTGAGACGCAGTTTCATTCACTTGGTATACAGCGCTCTGAGCTTTGTGGGCATCACAACAAATATTTTTCGACTCATCCCAAAACATTGGTTTTGTATATGCGTTTTGTTCGATTCGTGTATCGCAGAGCTTGCTATTTGTGTCAGCCATGTTAAGCTACGTTAGTTAAGCTTAGTAGACTCTTAGTTAGCTTTAGTTCATGTTATGCCTGCCAACTCTCACGCCTTAGGCGTGAGTCTCACGCCTACGGGTTGAAAACTTCGATCTCACGCCGGCTCACGCCTGCGGGCCAATTTCTCACGCCTGATTGAAAAATGTGAGTTGTTGCCGTCTTGCTTGACACAATTTCCAAAAGTGTGTTAACTCAGACCCATGTAAGGAACGAAAACCATGTGTAAATGAATAAATAACAATACCTTCCTCGCGATCTCTGATTTTGTGGATAAGCGTTTTCTCGATAACTTCGCCTTCGGCAGACTTCGGACGTCTTCGGAAGACTTGGGACTTCTTCGGAAGACTTCGGACTTCTTCGGGAATCTTCGGAAATGATCGCGTCGTCTGCAAAAATCCCAGAACTCCCAGGATAAAAATCTCACGCTTATATCTCAGAAAAAGTTGGCAGGTATATCATGTTGTAGTGTTGTACTTCGGACTATATCTGGCAACAAGCCACAGTAGCTCAGTTCCTGGAGCGTTATTTTACCATGCAAGCAGGCTTTCGGTGAATAACTTCACAACCTTATACCAGTCTTACAATGTGAAAAGATTGGGATAGAAGGACAATGGACAGACGGATAGACTGTTCTATTTGTTAGCTTTTGTTGTGGAAAGGACTAAAAAAATATATTTTACGTTTTCGCTGAACACCTACTGAGTGAAAAACTCCTTGCGGTGTGTTGATATGTAGCTACATGTGACACCCTAAAGAAAGCTAAAGTAGGTCAATGAGTGTTAGCTAGTGTTAGAATTCCGTAACTTTCTCGCCGGCTCCCGTGTGATTCTTAGCTATTTAAACTTATTCAGCATCTTGCGGCTTTCACACGCTTATATCTGCATGGACCCCAAACAAACCAAACTTAATTTCTCGTTTCGGATAAGCTTGCGGATAAAAAATTGAACGTCCCATTGGCGAGATTTCGAGATCCAAATTTTCAAAATCCGAGACTCCGAGATCCAAATTTTCAAAATCCGAGACTCCGAGACCGTCATATTTCTGGGAAATCCGAGATTCCGAGACGCTTTTTTTAAGCGCCGAGATTACGAGACTCGGCTTAAATTTGCCGAGACTCAACATTTTTGAAAAGCCATTCGTCACCCCTAATGTTGTCCAGGTTTGCGCGCTCTGGAATATTTCCGTTGGAACCAATTTCTCTTTTTTTATGTGCTCGCCGGGACGGGAAACCTCCTCGATCTATGGTCATTTGGAAGGCGTTTAACAACTGCACAGGTATCTGTTAGGATCGGAAAGGTAGGACGATTTTACGTTTGTACTACCCGTATATCGACGTATTTCGCGTCCGTTATAGTAACTGTTGTTTTTAAAAAAGGCAACATCAGCAACATCCAAGTGTGCCGTTGCATTTCAATGCTAACGTCTGTGTAGTAAATTGTAGTATAGCGGGGTAAATCCTGAACGGCTGTCATTCTTTGACTTTCATACCAGTATCTGTTTTGACGCTGAGGCATTTCTTGCTCTTAAAGCTTTTATCGTATAAATTGTAAGAGCTCTGTTAGCAAATTTATTCATATCTTCGAACACAGTGACTCAGATTACACTTTTTTGGTGATGTTTCCCGGCTGTAGGACATCAAATTTGACAGCGGGCGTTACCAGCCATGATTACTTTTGAGAGGCTCTTTGGCCAACGTAGAAAAAAAGAATAAAAAATAGTTTACAATTTTCTTGCCAAAAAATGAAAGAAAATTACAAATGTGAACAGAATTTACACATTTTCCTAAAATTGCCGCAAGCAGGGTTTAAACTGGACTATTGAATAAACAAATCAATAGACAACTATGTTGTTATTTTTGTAACCATTTGCTGTGAAGAACAGGATATTTTTCTTTAGAATTTTTATTTTCATCTGGTTATCATGAAGTTATTGCTTTCTACAAAATAATCGCCCTTACAACTCAACCGTAGCCTGCGCAAAAGGCGTCATTAAGGTGCTTGGGGTTGTTTAGAGGCGCGAGCGCGAAGCGCGAGATACGCAGTAGGACGCGGTTACGTCACGTTTGCCGTCTTCAACTCGATTTTTAAACGTACCGAAGGTTTCACCTAGGCTTATCTTATTGCAAAAAACTACAAGAATTTTTCTGTAGCTGTATTAAAACGGAAGTACTGTTGCTGTTCGCAAATTTACTATGACGGTCGCTTCAAGCAAACTGATCATGATAAAGGTATTGTTGCATGTATTTTACTTTGGTGGGTCTCTCTGTACCCAAAGCAAAAAAGCTTGCCTTCCTTGGTGTGATCTTATTTACATTCGTTTCAACTGCGCTTTTCGATTCTATAACTTATAGACGTCACACGACCATCGCATGCACGACATAAGGTTATATGCCTTTGTAGGTGATTGTCTGACTGCAAAACAAAACATTCATGACTTACATACGACTATTGGCTTTTGCTGCGAAACTTTGCACCAGTTCTGGTGTGAAACATTTACCCTGATTGCCTGACTGACCACGTACGACTACTGGCTTTTGCTGCGAAACTTTGCACCAGTTCTGGTGTGAAACTTTTACGGTGATTGCCTGACTGACTACCTACGACTACTGGCTTTTGCTCCGAAACTTTGCACCAGTTCTGGTGTGAAACTTTTACGGTGATTGCCTGACTGACTACCTACGACTACTGGCTTTTGCTCCGAAACTTTGCACCAGTTCTGGTGTGAAACTTTTACGGTGATTGCCTGAAACCTACGACTACTGGCTTTTGCTCCGAAACTTTTTGGGTGATTGTCTGACGACATACCGTTATGGCTTCTTGGCTACAGAAAAAATGAGTGAGTAAGATCAAACTCAGGATGACAAGCTCTTACTAGTGCGGAGAAAAATACTACAAGAACACGTTATCAGGTCTGGCTTTAAAAAGTAAACTGTTGCCATAGCAAATTTGAAAACATGGACAGAAAGGTCCTTGTTTGCTGTCAGGCGTTTACGTAACCTCCCCACGTTGAAACTCGAGTTAAAGACCGCAAACGTTACCTTACTTTGTGGGTTCGTGGCTTTCAGCAATAGCGGTTAGAAGCTACCGACGGAAAGCCTGTTTACTCGAAACTTTCTATCAGTTCTGGTGTAAACGTTTTGGAGTAACAGTAGGCACGGCATAGAATGCTGACGATAAGCATGTGTCTACACTGAATTTGGGGTGATTTTGCAGAGGAGACCACACGTAGATCGAGCTTACTTGTTATGTTGTTTATTCTTAAACTTTATTTCGCCTCAGTCGATTATCGTTGGAAAAAATGCATTGGTCTTAAGGCTTTGCGGTGATCACTTTTTTTACGAGTTATTGTGTTATGGACAAAGTTCGGGATCTTCCTTTTTATCGTTTACCTGGCAAAAACTCAAGACTACTCCTCAAGTCCACATTCCAAAACTGTAAGTACCGCTGAATGTCTTTAGTTGTTATGTTTTTGTTATATAATACTTTTGGATAGGGAATAACATATACTAAACAAATACACTGATCTTTTCCCAATATCTCAAGGAAAAAAAAAACGACAGCTAGATAAAAGGGTGAAACAGGTTAAACACTCTTTTCTTTTATATTATGTAAATTTGACGTAAAACAGATCTTGCCTACTGACTTACATGTTTTTCTTGGCAATGTGTTAAATGAAACTTTGCTGGCTGGCTCATAACTTACTTCTGCTACCGCTGGCTGGCAAACACCGAATTCCGTTTCACTCTGACTGGGATTGGGTAATTTTTGTTTTTTTAACCTTGCTGGCTGGCAAAAAACCGTCAAACATGATTGCTGGCTGGGATTTTTATTTTCTGAAAGTCTTGCTGGCTAGCAGTGAAGAGCGGGTATTTTTTCCCAGGAAAGTTAAATATTCAACATAGGTTGAAGTAAAAGCACTTTGCTAGCGTTTCCGACATCGTATAATCAATTTTGCGAAAAATGTTCGTTGGGTACTCCTGAAGAGGGGTGTTTACTAAAAGCCGAGTGGGAGTTTCACTTCGCCCCATGTAAGGTAACACAAGACAGACTTGGATTCAGGCTGGAATCCAAGACTTGGATTCTGGATTTCTTGTCACTGGAACTTGGATTACGGAAACCAATTGTTAGC